GAAACTGCAGAATTGCTCTGAGACAAAAAATCAGTTGATATGATTTTTTAGCATGGATTGGCAGAATAAGACTCTCTCTGATATTTCATATACAGTATAAGCTTGTCTTATCCGAGCCTTATTTATGGTATGACTGAGAATTTTGATAAGGACAAAATCCTGACTGGATACTTTTGAAAATATTCTCATATTTTGAAAAGAAGTTATTCATGCCGGCTAAACATCATTTCTCACCGCAATGTTGTAGCGAACGACCAGATCGTAGTACCGAGAGTCTTCCATCGCCTTCAAGGCACCGGGCTTTAAATGTCGGTTTTCCTTATTCAGTTGACAGTTATCTTGGTTGGAATATTTCAGGAAGTTGAAGGAGATACAGCGGCAGTTTGGTTGGCATGCTCTGTAGCAATCTATCACTTTGGTCACTGAGACATTGGCAAACACGTGACCAACTAGGGCGTGGCCATCCACCATGTTCTCTCCGATGACCAGGTGGAATGTTGCGAAACAGTTGCCGCTAATGCAAGAGCCCGCGATGAATGGAGTAATGAATCCAGCGGTTATGAAGAGTGAGATGAAGGGACGAAACAAAACTTGGAAACTTGCCCTAATGAATTAAAGTTTCATGAAAAGTGAAGGGATTTGTTTCATAATGATCATCACCATGCATGGATCGGCCTTTACAAGCTGTCATATGACTTCTTATCTGACTCTGCATCTATCTCCTGCGACTAAATTTTTCATAACAGAAAGTTTGGCATGCCGCAAAATTCTAGCACAAAAATGTTTCTTTTAAATCGCCATATCAGTTATCATATTCAACATTAGCACGAAGCGTCATACTGAATCATGTAATCTGTAATTTTTTTAAGCTATGGGGAAAAAAAAATCTATAAATGTCTTACAAACGACCAGAAAGGATTCTTCTTAGAATAGTTAAAAAAAAAAGAAGTTTTGGTTGTCGTTCATATCCCCACGGGATCCGGCACGGCACTGGAATCGACCAGCTGGTCGATTCCTACGGTCTCTCGCCTAGTAATATCTTGAGAGATCCTAGGCGGGATACTCGAAAGATCCTAGCGCGGCACCGGAAGGATTCTGGTGAGATCTCGGTGTGGTGTACCAGCGGGATACCAATAACCCGGTCTTCGGCGAACCTGATGGTCGCTTTACATGGGGTCAATTTTCACTATTCCTCATGAGAGTTGGCTTAGAATTCGACTCCGTAGGAATTGATGAAATAAATTAACGAGTTTCTATTAATCAAGCTCTTTTTATTATACTTACATCGCCAAGTAATTGTTTTCGTCAAAGAGGTTAAAATTGTTTTTCTTCCTTTGAGAACAATTTTCTTCATCTACCCGGACTTCACAGCTGGTTCCTTGGTTTTCTTCCCAAAACGCAAAGAGAAATTAAGTTCTAGCATGACATTAACATATAGATGGAATTCACTTAGAATATCACTAAATTGCCAAGAGTTGAAAAATTAACTGACAAAAATTTGGTGAGAGCTGATCCTGGCATCTTCTCAAGGCATAATCTTTAAGTCCATAAACTCAATCGAGAAGCAGATGCAGTCTTAGAAATAGCACACATATTAGTACTATACCAATGCCAAAGTGCTCTCCAGCGCCCAGTTGTTTAAAGGGAAGATAACGCTATTCAACGGATAAAAAAACAAAAACACAAACCGGACTAAGTACATTCGACTGACAACAACCTTTTACTTGACTCTGATGATGACTTCCGCTCAGGTTGTCGAAACGTTAGTCACCACTACCGACAACAGTCCTTCTCAGGACTACACTCACCCGGACGATCAAACTACACTATTACAGGACAAATCGCCATCCAGCGGATAGGCGTAAGCAAAGTGTGTCATCATGCATTGGACAGAGATTTATCCACTGGATAGTGTTATCTATCCTTCGAACAACCAGGTCTAGGGCGAGAATTTGAGGCCAACGTGTTTTAAAAAAACTCACCCCAAATGGTCTAAGATGATGGTTACGTAATCAACCCACTCGTCTGATTCTTTTGATGTATGAAAACTGAAAAATCGGGAAATGTTAACGAACATCATTTAAAAGGATAAAATAAAACTTATAGAATTCGGTGCAATCATGTATCGGATAACCTGAGTCCTAAATGAGTTAACTTAGTAACTTAGCCTCTAAAAAGTCGCAAAACCCCTCGAATACTACTTTGAATCGCTAAAGCAATAAGAGTTTGTAAACACGGATCAATAACCCCTAATATTTTTACTTGGCCTGTAAAGAAAGCACGGCAATGACTTTCAAATCATTAAAATGAAAAACAAGAAAGGGCTGGTACCTCGCGCCGAGAAATGTCTCCTTTTTAAGAGCGACTACCTAAGACTGGTCAAGATTGGTCCAACCCTGTTTTCTTTTTTTGTTTGTTTCTTTATCGAGCGGTGTACTCGGTTATTTAAAAAAGTCCTTTAATAAATAATTGATTACTTTTAATTAGGGGTAACAATCAGGGGTAACGAATGATATCTTGAATTAAAATCGCGAGGCTCGTTAAAAATTTTCACCCAATCTCGTTTGAACTCTCGTCAACGATGGCGATGAGTCTTAGAGTTTGGCAATTTTTTGAAAATTCTCCAAGTTTAGGACTTGCTCTCATAGCTAAAGGTCTGGGGAGAGAAAGAGTAGCTCGGCATTATCATTGTGAGCGACGAAAGTAATTGTAGGATCGTTGTCTTAGGAAAATATTACTATGCAATGGTTAATATATCGCAAAAGAGAACGCAAAAGAGGCCGTGGTAACTGTAACGCGATAATTTGTTGTAATCAGGAGTAATGGGCTCCTGCTGTAATAAATTACAGGTACCTAACTGTCATATCTAGGAAGAACAACAGTTATGATATTGAATTGCAGTGTTCCAAACAAGGTGTCAGCATTTCGGGAGTCTCGGATTATACCATTTGCTATCCCCATGAATAAGAACTGGAACTTTTATGCTAATTAATCTTATGTTTAATTTTTTATGAGGTTATATCTTCGTTTGGCAGGTACTGAACACGATTAACAGTAGCCCCTTTTTAGATGTAGACCTTCATGTTCATCATGAGGGGACGCAAATCGTCTGTACTGTAAGTATCCCGGAGAGTCCCCTACATTTTCTTAGACTTTTAGTCTAAGAAAATGTATGGGGACTGTAAGGTGTCATAATCCTGTTGCTGCTGACATCGATGTGACAGATAATTGCTTTTGCACTGTTTTCTTTGCCGGCTTATACTTGTCATCAAGTTTCTTTACAGCTTGGGAAAAATTGCTACCTTTTCTAATTTTGCCTTTGTCTGTCCTTCTTAGCTGTTTCCTTGGTCTTCCTTCCAAAAACAACAAGAATGATGAAGTCTTACACGACATGAACATTATATAATACAGAGATCTGGATGGAATTAACTTAGTATTGACAAATTGCCAAAGGTTGAAAAAAATTGCCTAAAATTGATGTAACCTGAGTCGACTTTGGTCAAAGCCATAGCTCAACCCAAGGGCTCAAAAAGTGTATTTTCAGTCCTTGAACCCAATTCGAGAGCTAAATACAGCCATGGTATTTTTCTTCAAAATAATAGAGAAAAAGAGAATCGTAATATATATATATATATATATATATATATATATATGTCAGCGTACTAAACACATAATCGCGAAGGATTTTTCGATGCACAAAGAAACTTCAAAAAATCACTATGATCGAGAAACACTAGCCAATATTATTTGAGAGTATCAAAAAATACTGGGAGAATACTGTGAGTCCTTAATGAGCGAGATTCTCTGAATGAGTTTTCTGAAAACTCATGTGTAAAATATTCAATTTTAACAATCTGTTGTTGCTCTGTCGTAGTTCGCGGTTCGCTCAATCATTCGAGACAGGATAAAGGCTCACTTTCCAAAAAAAACAACATTTATAAACAACAACATTACCACGCCATCTTGAAAGCGTGCTCATACTTATTTATCCATAATACATTGCGAACATAGTCGTGACGCGATGTCACGACATATGTAACGACATCCGTGTCACTCATGCAACTCTCCTCACGCTTCTTTAAATCAACTTGTGAAGTAACAAATGAAAAAACACTGATATTCTTCATCCTTGCCTCATCAACTTGTTAAGAATTGCTATTAAGAAATTGCTATCATAGCAATTGAATGATTAAAAAAAAAAATTGGAAAGCAAGACGTGAAGGTAGTGGTACCTCGCGCCGAAAGAAGTATTTGTTTGAGAAAGAGTATTTCATACAGAAAGTTAAGAGTGCCTTGTCCTTGCTCATCTTTGTTTGTTTATTTCCAAGTAGCTTACTCGTGTATTTAAGACATATTCCAGGTAAATGATTGATAAGAGGCTGATGAATGGTCTGTTGAAAAATGAGAGATGATTTTGCCAAAATTGTTTAATCGCGGTATCGAATTTTTAAACAAGGACTGCGGCGTTTCCAATCTCTTTAGTTGCGAACTGAAAATTATAATCCAATAGGTCATCACTTCTCACTCTGAGCATTTCGTTTAGTAACAGGTACCGAAAATACACCCTTAAGAATACCCTGAGCTGAGTCACAGACCGTCCAACCCTGAAACAGACTTTACTTTACACCGAAATCTCCTTCAAGTACCAAATCCCGGCATATTTTTGATCAAGCTGGCGCGGCGATCCAATATTATTTCAGCGTATTGTAGAACAAAAAGAACTAAAGCAGGGAGTGACTCATCAAATTGTTTTAAATCCTTATTTGGCTTACTTAGTTTTACGTATTCAGCTCAAAAGCAGACGGATCAAGAATTATACCTCCAGTCACTGAGTCGTACCCTCTGCCCCACCCCCTACTCCGCCTGCTTTGCGCATCGCACTTACCCTTGAATGACCTTCAAGTGACTGACACGGTCATAGACCTGGGCCGAGGAGGTTGAATCAGCAAGGCATCGTTTCCACAAGTTCGATCAGCTGTGGTGATCTTTCCTTTTTATAATATTTTCCTACATTTCTACAATGCCGAGCAGGAAAGTCTATGTCGTTGGAGTGGGGATGACTAAGGTTAGTAAAGGGATATAGTTCCGCGCTGAAATTTTCCCAAAATATGAACATTTCTTACATAACTAATTTTGAAGTCTTGCTCAACTTGCTGCTACGTATGTTGCCATCACTGTTTGTGCGCAAAAGTTTTTCTCACCTGATCCAATATTAATTTAGAAGTTTTTGAAAAAAGGCATAGGTGTGCTGTAATAAACTTTTTGTTTTTCCATCTTGATGAAACATCGTGAATTAAGCCTAAACTTGTGGAAACTTGATGTTTATCAAAACGTCAAAGTTGTTGTTCCTACATGTTTAAAGAAGTTATTTAAAAAATGAGGGTTTGTAATAGAGGTCTTGATTAACCCTTTCCATCCTAACATCAGTATTTATATTCTCCATACTGTTCACCTTACATTATCTAAAGTGATGATAAGGAGAATTCTTAAACCATCAAGAGCTTCTTTACGCCTGAGTTAACTACCTGATAATGTGTTTTATCTTCAGTTGTAACCATGATCTTTAATTGAGGGGTGATATTGTAAGGAGAAATTAGATGTTGGTCAATCTATGGGGTCAGGGGGTTAAGTAAATTGTGAAGAAAAAAGTTTTAATTTTGGTATGGAAGAGATTAACCAAGGGTGAAAATGATAAACTAAGATGATTTGATTACAGGTATGTTGTAAAAAATAAAAAATAAATAAATAAAAAAAAATATAAACTGTACCTTTTAACTTAGTTATCTCTGACATATTTTCACTTATTTGGGGCAGTGCATTTAAATCATAATTTTTACTTTTTCCACTAGTTTGAAAAACCTGGTCGTCGAGAAGATTTTGACTACCCTGATATGGCCAGAGAAGCAGGTTTGTTGGAGTTACTCAAACTGCAATCATTGAAAGTTTTGAATGTGTTGCCCTATTGATTGATGGAGGGTCATATGATAGGGATGAGTAATTCTTTGGTTTTCCTCTTTCCCCCGTTAACTATTGCAAAAATTCTGTGCATTTTGGCAGTTTCAGTAAGCATATTGAGCATTTTTGAAAAGCTCATTGGTTATTCACTTGGGTGGCATACCTTATAGGTAGAAGGTATATTTTTCCAATTTATCCACTGGCGGCATTTTGTTGATAGCCTATTGGTAATCTGATGTCTTGTTTGAAATGGTTTATTTTTGTGTTTTCAGGAACAAAAGCCCTTAAAGATGCAGGCCTGGATTATGGCAAAATAGACCAAGCTGTAGTAGGTTACTGTTATGGTGAGTTCCTCTCCTTCTCATTAAAAGGGTTCACCAAGAATTCCATGATTGTGTATTTTTTCACAATACACTGTAAGGAAAAATATTTCTCATTCCAGTGCACACATACATGTAATACAGTAACTAATTACTTTCCTAAACCTCTATCTAGTTTAATAAATTTTCCATTAGTAACTTTAAATATTTTGGCATCTTTCTTTCAGTTGTTTTATTTCAAATTGACCTTTGAATATTGCAAGCGAAGGATTTTTCATAATTGTTTAGGACTTCATTTTTAAATTTTAGGTGATTCAACCTGCGGACAAAGAGCACTCTATCAACTTGGTCTCACAGGAATTCCAATTTACAATGTTAGTCATTTCAGCCATAGGATATTATAACTTTGACATGAGTAGAAGTTGGTAGAATTGGTAATGTTTAATAATATTTGGAATCATGTTTCATTTATACAGACCCTGGGAATTATTGTTTTCACAGTTCCACAACAATGCAAAAATTATTTTTGGAAAATTCTGCCCCATAGTGAAAAAGTTGATATTCAACATGAGTACTTAATGCTATAAAAAATGAACAAACAAATAAAAAGATTATTTATAATTATTATTATTTATATGAATTTAAAGTTGCATCTGGAAACTTTTTTGTAGGTAAATAATGCATGTGCTACAGGTTCCAGTGCATTGTATTTGGCCAAGCAGCTTGTTGAAGGAGGTACAGTTCAAATTTTTAAATAAATATGTTATAGCTGTGTACATAAAAGAATAAATTGGAATCAATTGCATACTATGTAACCTAACAGCTCTTGTATAGTATGAACCCTTTCCAAGAATGTACAATCCTTCATGAACCATGTTTGTCTGGCAAAGCCCAACCAAACCAAAGCTGACCTTCATTTGTTTGATCATTTATCTTGTATATGATTTTAAGCCCAGGGAGGAGGGGAGTGGGGTGGGGGGTGAGGCACTTCCTAATAATAGGCTCATGGGGATATGCCACTGGGTGGCATTTTCATGCCAGGATTGACTATAATAAGGTTGCATTTCCAATTTTTGAGATTTTGGGAGTAAGAAAATTCTGGTAAATAGGGATTTTAGTAATGGGAAGATTTGCAGTTAAATAGATGTTACTATATTAAGGAAAGTGACCAAGATGGGGTCTATAATTAGCCATAGAATAGACTTAAAATGGTGTGGGGTTTTTTTGAAAGGCTAGCAGCATATACACAGGAAAAATTTACCCAGTTACCTCCCTTCCAGATTTTATGTGTCTTAGCCACAGCTGTACCCACTCATTTCACATACAGCCCTGTGAGTGATACGCACTCAACCAATAACACACAGGCCTCATGCTGTATGATTTATGTATAAATGGTTAGGTGAACCCTAATTGTGCCATTCAAACCATTACAGGTTCATCAGACTGTGTTTTAGCTTTAGGATTTGAGAAAATGCAGAAAGGATCTCTTGGAGCAAATGTAAGTACATTGCATACTAAATTTGTGTAAAGTTTCAAAGTAAATCTTTCTGTTTCATTATACTTAGAAAAATGAGGTTGGCATCTGCTGAGGATCTATTTTCCTACAACATTTTTTCTTTTTACCTCAAATTGATGGCCCCTGTAATATAGTAGTTGTGGTTTCCCTTTTGGAGTTGAACCCACACAGCTTTATGTGTTGCTTTCTCCTTTGTCCAATGGCCTGATCTAGCATATTTGAATCACAATATATAGTTTGAGAGTACACGAAAGGTTACAAAATGGAATGACTGCTTGCTTCCTTAGAACATATACTTGTGAAATGCATTTTTATAACCTCATATAGCTAGAAATGTGCTGAGAAAACAAGAAGCCTTCTTTCAACCCTTTTTGAAATCGACATGTATTGCACTTGACACACTTTCTTGTAATGTACTTGGTAGTTCAAAGATCGCACTCCACCAATGGATAAACATTTGGAAGTTGTGATCAATAAACATGGCCTGGCTGCTGCTCCTATAACTCCTCAGTTGTTTGGAAATGCAGGCAAAGAACACATGGAAAAATATGGTGAGTTTTTGTGATGATTGATTTATAACAGGTCTTTACTATCTGAAAAGAATTCCCTGCCTCTAGAGCTACATTTACTTATTTGACCCTTCACACCCTAACATCAGTATCCATATTCTCCTTACTATTCTCTGTCAATATACAATTCTAATATCAGGAGATTCTTCATTTAGTGATCAGTTCCTTTATTCTCATGACCTTAATGTTGGATTAAACAGTGATACTGTAAGAAGAAATTAGATGTCAATCACTCTTAGGGGTTTAATGCTTAAAACTATTTATTTAAACAATTCTGTCTCAACAGAGACAATGTACAGTACCTATTAAAATTGAAATGCAGTGCAAGCCTTTGATGAGAAAAAATCGAAGTTAAAATACATTTTGGAAGCCTCTTTAGGAGCCAGTGTTGATTAAGAGCCTGTGATAGTTGATGAAACATTATTCAACTTCAAACAGGAACCACAATGGACCATTTTGCCAAAATTGCTTACAAGAACCATCTTCACTCTGTTGATAATCCGTGAGTAAATCGTGCTTTGTGTCATCTTATACTGCAAATTTTGTGTGTTGGATAAATTTTGTTTGTTACCCATGGAAATCAGAGTAACACCATAATACTGTCTAGTCAGGGTATGAAACTTTGTCAAGGTGAAGTCTGTACTTAAGCCAAGTAACTCATCAGGCCAGAGCTTATGCCAATTTCCATAGCTGGAAGTGACTAGGAATAATACTACTCCTCCCCGGGATGGGATGTCAGTCCATTGCAAGATTACCCCCAGCATTTCATCAAGCTTCCCTGACTATTTGTCGGTACCCATTTATACTTCTGGGTGAAGAGAGGTACTGTGAAAGTAAACTATTTTGCCCAAGAACACAACAGAATGACCAACCCAGAATCAAGCACACAAATCATTAGGCCACTACATCTCCCACTGGAAACATTTGATTGCCGCATATCAATAATGAGGTATAGTTATAAACAATAACATTTCTCTGTCTTTCATATTTTAGCTTATCTCAGTTCAGGAAAAAGTACACTTTGGAAGAGATTAAGAACTCTCCCATGGTGTTTGACCCTTTGACAAAACTTCAGTGCTGGTAAGCCACATTCTGTAGTTGTTGTTAGTAACCTGTCAATGCTTGTATAGCTAAAGTCAAATGGCCTGAGCTATTTCATAAATTCAGACTTGGCAATAGGAAATCTATTTGTTTTATGTTATTTTTAACCCTTGACATCCTAACATCACTATGCATATTCTCCATACTGTTCTCTCTACATTTCCTAGGTTCTAACAGGAAGAATTTGTAGAACCATCAAGAGCTTCATTAGTAGCTGATCATTTCCTTTATTCTCATGACGTAAACCTTTAATTCAGGGGTGATATTGTAAGGAGAAATTAGAACCTTGTCACTCTTAGGAATTAAAGGGTTAATGGGGACATTATCTATGGGTCTGCCTTAAGTATGAAATAATCAAAACACTTATCATGTCAAAAAAAAATGTACAAGACTTAAAACAGAAGAGATTTCTGTTACTGTTGGAGTGCCACAGTTTACCAAGAATGATAAACATGTTTATTTTCGATTGGTGAATCAATCCTTTTTGAGGATCATCAAATTGTAAAGAAGAATGCAGTGAATAAGCTGTGGATCTTATTCTACATGTAACAATATTGCACTGATTGATCTGTACATTAACTTTTAGTCCTACATCAGATGGCAGTGCAGCAGCCATCTTGGCCAGTGAAGAGTTTGTCAAGAAACATGGGCTTGAGAGTAAAGCTGTTGAGATTCTTGGAATGGAAATGGCAACAGATCTTGTGAGCACTTTCCAGGAAAACAGTTCAATTAAAGTGGTAATTGGGAAATTTATTTTCATCATATACTACATTAAAGAATAGAAAACTTGATGATGAGCTCTTAGAATTTTTTAGTCTGATAACTTTAAGTTGTTGAAATAGTAGAAGAAAGAACTAAGACACCATCAATCTTTGTCTTGTAATTGTACCCTTATTTTCTGACCGATGTGGCTGTAGGTCTTAACTTTTTCAGTATTACTTTCAGTAACACCTTTAGTAATGCCTTTGTTCCAACTTTGGTGTACAAAAAAAATGAGATGCATTTAAAATCAGTGTTCAGCCCTTAAAAACCCAAGATCTGATTGTTAATATTCCCGTCTAGATGCCGCTTATTTCCTTGTAAATTAGTTTTGAGAATTTGGTGTTAGATCAAGATAACAACTTTTTCTTTGGGAGAAGTTAAATGTTAATCACCTCTGGGAGCTGAGGTGTTAACATGCAAGGAAAGAGAAAGTCAGAATTAAGGACACTACTTTATGTGTTGCACTAAATTGTATGCAGAATAACCAGCCAAAGGTTTATCAATTGCTGTTTGTTAGGAGAATTGATGTTTTGATTGTTTGAACCAATAATTACTTCAGCATGTTTTCTTGCAGGTTGGTTATGATATGACTAAGGTTGCTGCCAAGAAATTGTTTCAGAAGACAGGTATGTGGTACATATACTGTCCACTATTGGCATTCTACACTTTTTTTCATTCGAAAGGTTATCTGAAATGCTATTCAGAGATCTCTCACTTATAGGAGGAGGATTTTGGGGCTTATTTTCCAGAGCAATTTTATCAACTTTCTATGTCTGTTTTTGTTATTTGTGAAGGCATGTCACCTAATGATGTCCAAGTTGTAGAGCTTCATGATTGCTTCTCCACCAATGAGCTCCTCACCTATGAAGGACTTGGCCTCTGCTCTGAAGGTATGATGGGTTACAGTCTCGGTATTTGTTACCTGGTGCTTGCATAGAAAAGTTAAATTCTTACACAGACCGTGGAACATAGTAATATGATATTACAATTAGAGTGAAAGAACCAATTTCAATTCATAAAGTAAATGTTGTAAATCAACATTGATATCTAAAGACCTAGTGTGATTGTGATTGTGAATGTACTACAATGTTTTATTAAGAACAGAGGGAAGGTGGCGGTGGGATGAAAAATTTGCAATTGATTTTTTCCTTTTCTTAGGCAAAGGAGGGGAATTAGTAGACAGAGGAGATAACACTTATGGAGGCAAGTGGGTTGTAAATCCAAGTGGAGGACTCATTTCTAAAGGTCACCCTCTGGGGGCTACAGGTAATCTTCTGAGATACAAGTAAATGTTGCACGAGGCTTGAGTTTTGCAAATTTCACTGGATATCTGTTGTTGTTGTTGTAGGTTTAGCACAGTGTACAGAGCTTTGCAAACAGCTGCGGGGTGAGTGTGGTAAGAGGCAAGTACCTGGAGCCAAGGTGGCTCTTCAGCATAACCTTGGATTGGGTGGTGCTGTAGTAGTGGCTCTGTATCAACTTGGATTTCCTAATCAAAGGAGGTGAGAGTTCAATATAAATTGAAATTTTTACTTGTGACTGGAAACCACAGAACTAATAAAGATTGTTTTCTTAAAAACAAGGTATCACCCAGTACCTTCCTATACCTCAGCAGTCAAGAGAGAAGATTTCAAGGCAGCTGCAATATTTGAAGAGATGGAAAAGAAGCTGAAGGGGGTATGTGGAAGTCATTTAATTTGTGGTCTCCTTTATAGCCATCATTATTTTTGTCACACAGGACTTTCTCTCCCTCCCAAAGTCAACTTTTAGGAATATAGTGGGGTACACTAGGGTATTGAATCCTCGGACAAGACTAGATAATTTTAACAGCAATTTAAAATCTCTCCAATTAAGGTGAAGTGCTGATCGACACAGAGTTTGTCACGCAATCTTTCCAAAATATTTTGTGACAAGTACCATAATTCCATAAGTTTAATCTCTACAGTCACATTCCTATTTGGTTTAATTGTTTGTAAATAAGTCTACAAGCAGGATACTTGGAAACGTCTTTTTAATTCACTCAGGAAGGCCCTCTACTTGTAAAGAAAATTAAAGGAGTTTACAGATTCAACATCAAACATTCTGATGGAAAAGAAACCTGGTGGATTGTTGATGCTAAGAATGGAGATGGGGCTTTGAAATATAGAGGCTCAGGTACACTCTTCAGGATTCTTAATTTGTAATTTTAACGTAGTCCTTGAGTGCTGTAAAGTTAAACTTAACTAAAGTGGACATGGTTTTGGAAAACTTGGCATACCTTAACAGCCTGAGAGCTGTAGAGGAACGAAGTGTCTCATTCAGGAAATAGGTACTTCAAAGTCACTTGCCACGCTCCTCATTAGAAACTGTCAATAAAGCCTTTTTGCCGCTTTTGGTCATGATGCACTAGATCGCACATTTCCTTTTAAGGATCTGGTATCAACGAGTAGTAAATGTGGGAGTAGCCAATCAGATTGCTCGCTCGCTCTGGCGAAGGGCTACCTCTCGAAACGTCAGCTTTAGAAACTCTTTTCGGAGGTCAATTTACATTATCAACTCAGTTGATAAACCCAATTATCTCGTTATACCCCCTCCGACACAGCAGCACAGTTTTTTTTAGAAACTTATCTTCTTTAATCAGATTAGTTGTTTGACACTCCTTTTTTAACACTTTCACAGATAAAGCTGACTGTACAATAACTATGAATGACGAAGACTTCGTTAAGATAATGACTGGTAAAATGAATCCACAATCGGTAAGTTGAAATTTATCAACATTTTGCTTTAAACATACAATAAGAGCAACGAATGATGGTCTTGCGCATCAGTTCAAAATGAACCAGACGAGTTTCCAAACCTTTAAACTAAACGGCTTCCCTGTTTGCTATTCAGGCTTTTTTTCAAGGCAAGATCAAGATCAAGGGAAATATGGGCCTGGCTATGAAACTAAGAGAAATTCAGCCAAAGCCTGCCAAGTCTAAGCTGTAGATCCACATGCGAACAAGATGAGATTGTTTAGGTAGCAACAAATTTTTAAGGTGTCCTTTTTAAATGAGGTGAAATCTTTGTTAGACCTTCAACCCACCACGTGAAAACATCACTTAATCATCTGAAACATCCAAATTATCATAACAGTATTTGATCAAAGTTGAAAAACTGTAATCAATAGATGACACAAAGTGTCACCCCTCAAGGCTCGGTAAAAGGCCTGGGTCAGAGTGACCCGGTACATGTACGACACATAACCTGAGCTATTACTAATGAACTATGGATTGGCGAGGAGTGCTTTCAGTAAGAAATACTAAAACGAACAAACACTTCTTCTATGACATGACCCCTACTTGTCTTAAATGTGCGTCGTGAAATAATAAATATAGTGCTTACTACTCTTTGTTTAGTTTTGACAACTTGTGAACAACTCATTACAAGTATGATGGGAAATGTTCAGTCTTCTTTTCGTATGTCTATATTATACTATAAACATGGTGAGCAGCCGGTTTTGTTACGTTCTTTTTTCTGTTCATATCATACTATAAACATGGTGTTAAATCGACAATGTTCTTTTTCTTTTGTTCATATTATGCTATGAACAGCGCAATTTGTCAAATGCAACTTGGATGGGCGGAGCTGGTGCTTTTCCTCCGTTAACAAAAACCTGTGGGCAAACAGTGTTAATTTAAGGAAATCCCTTCATGAAAGTTCTCAGTCTAAATCTTTGAGTAGGGTGGCGGCTGCGGATAGCAATCAGGGATGCAATCCTTTTTTCTAAAAGACATGACAAGGAGCACACAGGCCAACATACTTATCACGAACAAAATTCCCGCCAATATCACCAGGTAATTTAGCGGCAAGATCAGATGGCAGTTGTCAAAGACGGTATTCTGACAGTTCTCTCCAGTACATTCCTGTTCACAGTGTTGAGCGTCACACGTAAATGAGCATGCTCCTGATAAACACCGCTGTCTACAGAAACTAACATCACTGGTACACTTCATGTGACAATTGTGACACTTCTGATAGCATGTCTCGGATGAGCACGTGATTGCTCTGCATTTAGAACCTGCGGAGGCTTGGTAACATTCATTGTAGCCTTGGTTACTGTCTGTTACGCCACAGTCACATGATTGGTTGTGGCAATGTTGAATACAAGTGCCTGAGATTACCATCTGGCATCTATCAGTCGCCATTGCTTCTTTCGCCGCAAAAATTGTAACCACGATCAAAATATGACAGAACATCTTGAAGACTGTAAAGGGAAAAAAAAGTGTACGCATTGATTGACAATGTTGAGACAATTGAAACCGTGATGATTGCGCATTTGAAAGGTTTAATCAGCACGATTATCACTGAACTAATTAAGTTCCGCGTTCCGTGTTGTCGTGGGGGAAATCAGGCAAGGGACAAGAGTTGATGAAAATTTGAAGTATTTCCTGGCCTAAAGGGTTCAGTCTGAGTAAAAAAAAAAAAAAAACACCCTGGGGCGAACGCAACATCCAAGTTCAAGTTTTATCCAGCCTTAGCGCGGAAACCGAAGCTCTGAGGTTGGATTCGTTGTTCGTTTGAGCGGCGCTCGTTACAAGAGAGAAAGACATCTTTTTGTAATTCTGATTTTATTACAAGACATTGCCTCACATCCTAAGTTTTTAAATCTTTGCCATAAATCACTTTGTTACTTACAAGTTTCGGCTTGAATTTTGAAAACAGTTTGTATGTCACGTGCGGTGAACAGAAGTGTTTGACTCTTAGAAAGTTCTCGGCGTTTTGCCATGTTGTACCGTGTCCAAAAGAAATAAGCAGTGTCTTGTCTGGTTGGTACAAACATTATGGATTTTATGCTTCTTTTGCTTAATCATCCTCCGACGAATTAGAGATAAACGCAGACAAAAGATCATAAAATGGCGAACGGCACTAAGCGTGTGTCCTCATGAACATTTTAATTTAAGAACCGAGATGTTGATTGGGATTATTTTAAATGATATGCTACACCAAGGAAAGATTGCCATCCAAAGGTTGACTTGAATTACCACTTTCGATAGAATTTTGCGTTTTTCTGAACCCACAACAAATTGCAAGGGTTTTAAGCTCTAAGGCTATTTTTAAAAACTTATTCAAGAACGATTTTGAATACCAACCTCTTAAAAGAGTGTGATCGAACATCTGCAGAATAATTCCAAATGAAATTTCCACACGGCGTCCGAGCGTGTCTGTGCTTAAAGTTTGTCAGGCAGTTTGTTTGTGATTGTGGAATTGTGCGTCGCAAAGGCTTTAACTTTAGTAGGCGGGGAAAGAAAATGAAAGTGCTTAATCAAGCCTATCGGAGGGAAAACCCCTGTACGACGTCAGCAACTCATTGTCTGATAGTCTTTGAGACGGAAAACGTTTTCCAAGAAAACAGGAAAGCTGTAAAACGACGAGTATTACGACATAAGTGTGATTAACTTCACATCACGTCCTAAAGAAATTTCGAAAATATATTTCTCTCTATAATTTGGAGTTTTATTTTCACTTCTATTTATGGTTCCTTAGTCATTAACTGACAAGTCTATGCAAAGATCAAATAGATCAGATGTCTCTTATTGTCTAGTTATTCTTGTCTGTTTGGTTTACTATTAAAATGCTGTGAGAGATAAACGTTAAAAAATGTCACTTTTCATTTTACCTCTCTACCTGCTGTTTTTGCTTTTAGCTTATCGGAGTTGACAAACTTGTTTCACTGCTAGTCAGATGCGAAAGAGACACAAGTTGCGTTACTTTCATCATGGGTCTCGCCCTTTCCGGTCCTCTTTGCCCGTGCAAACAGTAACTGGTTCTTTAGCATTATTAATCATTTTAAGACTTCTAAATCATCCTTTGGAGAAACAATGAAATGTTAATTTCTTGGGGTATATCATACTTTGATTTACCGTTCATTTGGGTTAAGCTTCCTCAGCTTTTTTAAACAAAACATGATGGAATGTGAATTTGATTGACTTGTTTGAATCTCGTGAGATTCATAGGATCATGTTCTTTTCATAGCAGAGTTGAGGCAGAAAATATATTTTGTTTCAGATGCTAATCAACCTGTGGTAGTGTGAGCATGGGTGCGAGATTGATCATGTATGCCGGGGGCTATGTTACCTGAAACCGTACCAGGTGATGTAGAAAATCATGATCTTTTCGTACACCTTTGAGTTCGAGGAATGCTTCAATTTGACGTGTAATCAAATCAGCCCCTTAAATTATCGTTGGTAAAAGCTGCACGATTTATGCTCTGTTACATTGTCTTGATGCTACGAAACGAAAAACAAGGAACTCTAACCTAATCCTTGCTCTGTATAGAAAAATGAATATGAATACAGCAGCACGCGATGCATTATAGTCTTCCAATGTAAAACTTAATTGATCCACTGATTATTTACACGGAATCAAGTCCAACACATGCCTGTAGTTTTCAGTGTATAGTATATTGCAGTTCGTCCGTTCATCCTCGCGATGATTCTCTATATGTAGACAGCTCATGCTTCTTATCATTAGCTCGGCAATATGTGCAACACTTATATTGCAACGCATTGCCTCAATTAATAAAAATTTGTTTTCTGTTTCAGAGTGGGCAGTGCCTTTACTCATTTTATTTTAACGAGTACGTAATGAAGAGATTCCTAATTATTTAAAATACTAACTGAGCCTAGAAAGTGCAGTAACAACGAGGTGCCTTGAAGGTGGGGCTGCATCATTGCTACATCAATGCTACTCATTGACAGAGGTATCCCAGATAAAAAGTGGGTTATGAGCGAGTTAAAAGGGCAATTAACCTTGATTTTCTAGAGAGGTTTTATAGACGTTGACGGAAAACGGCAAAATTTGCACTTGTTGCCATCTGTTTTCAGCCATCTGCGCGTTAAAATTAAAAACAAAAATTGTCGATACCGGAAGATTTGTCGCAAAGTTGATTCCAGGATCTAAAAATTGTTTTAATCTCCGACGCCGTTTACTTGTTACCAGCGGCTTCCCCAAAGCTGCGCGCATGCAATTCTGAAACGAATGGGTTACTTTTAAGCCATAGTTTGCATTTACCTTAAGAGGCAAACTGAGATTATATTTTATCTTTCATAACACAACCCGTCATGTCTCTTACCTATATTTTCGCTGTGCTTGTTGTTCGTGACAAAGCCAGTAGTTCTCTGGAAAAATTGCCTCCGTAATCGCACGTGTCAACAATGGGAACTATTGAACTTTCTGAAAATTGTGGGTCTTTTATCACTGATTATTAGAATAAAAACCTGTTTGACCTGTTTTCAATCATTTCAGACGTGACGAGGATTACCTGGGTCACTCACTGAATTGTAATGGCTTTGTAAATTTTATACACTGATTAAATCTAGGTTTGAACCAGTTTCAAAATCTGCTAAATACTAATCTCTTTTCCAGCTTCTTACTCAATTTCCATTGACTACTCCGACCGCATAACACCTTCTTTGATCTAACGCTTGATTCGGAAATAACCAGAAAGGCCAAAATAATAAAAACTTTATTAGCTCATGGACTGGGAATCTCCTGTTATTGACACGGGACCTATTTATGGATTCATTGTGGTGAATCTGGTTGACAATAATATGTAATGCGTGACCGGAAACCGCGATTCTGAAATCCAGGTACTTTCGAACTCCCCAATTCACTGCACCCCTATTGAGATTGAAACTGTAAGCTTCACACTACCCTCTCCACAAACATTATTCCTTCGATCGCATGCGTCTTTTCCAACGCTAGCTCTTGAAGAGAAAAGCACAATGTGATCAGATCTGTGTTAATTTATCTTACTGATAATTGATCCTCTCTCACCTGATTTAATCAGAGGTATCATTAAGGTTAGTCTTTAAAATTAATCCAGGTATATCTTGTTCAGGTTATGATATAATTTGCAAACAATATAAATTTATTTGTAGACAATTCATAATTTAATTTCTTTAATTTTATCCTGAAAAAATCAGGATGAAGGGGCCCATCGGTAAAATATTAGGTTTTAAGTCACTTTCTTAGCAATTAATCTACCTCCCTTTTTTATTGGTTTAAGGTTCCGTTGACATTTTTTGGTCTAAGGTCACTCTTTCAGTTTATGTTATATTTTACGGTCCACAAACGCATAATTTACATAGCATATAAAGCTCAGCGCGTCTACATCCCAAGTTCATTCTTAGACTACTATTATGACTATTACAAATGAGAGCCAATCACTTGGGGGAATGAATATCTGGGTAACGTTACACCATATTACAAGTCGTAAACAACCTCATTTCATAAAAATCTGCCGATTTTGCTCGATTTTGTCTGGCTTTGACCCAAAAATATTATTCTATAATCCCTTGCTATGTCTGCATTTGCTTCTTTTTTTTCGTCCACACGCGTTGTTTTCGTAAACTGGAAGAGGGGAAGGTGCTTTTAGTCTAATAATTCCTTTTGTTGCCGCGTGATACAGTGTGGACTTGACCCTGGATACAAAAGGCCTTAAAACTGGCTTCATTGTGAAGTACGGATTTGTTGAGAGCATTTGTCATCCAGACATAGGTCACAGTAAGTATTGAAAAAGTTAATGGTTTTATTCAGCCACCTCCCCTTTAACGCCCTAGTGATCGTTGCCCACGCGAAGTTTTTGCTCGGGAGAGAGCTTTCACGTATAAACTTTGTTGTGAAGCCCTAGTCTTGATTGAACCTAGTTAGCTTTTGAATATAACACAGTAGTTCTCTTCGACAATAATTCGTGTGTGTTAAAGGAATTTACCTTGTTTACAATGTGGACGAACTTCCAGGTGCCGCGTGAATCCTTTGACAGAACTGTTTCACAGGTTCAAGTAATTTGTCGGTTTAGGCGAGACCTAGAGCCTGGGAAAACAAGTTAAAATGACCAGCGCGATTGCTATAGTGAAGTATTGTTTGCACCCATGTAGAAAAACATTGCCTTGATGTTTATACAGCTAACGTGGAGTGAAAAATAATCTACTTACGAATAATAAGAGGAGGTATATAAGAGTATCCATGTGATTCTATTCGCAGCTGGACTTAAAATCTTTGTGTAAATAATATTTTCAATGGAAAAATATTACACAATGATATTTTTACAATGCGTCAAGCTGCGAGTAAAATTGGCGACAGCTGGGGAGTGCATTGTTTATTCGGTCTAATCATGGCACGACTTGACTGAGAAAGCGTTCTCAAGTTATGTTCATATAGAGATGCAAAAATGTGATGTAGGTCTGTTGAAAATTGCAATAGATTTTGTCCTCTGCATGGCGTTAGCGTGCCTTAATATTAGCGGAAGGAATTAAGTAAAGCTCGACTCAGACAGTCTGTCCTATTGCAAGTCATGACCATATATGGGCATCAGCAAGAACTATCACATTGTATGAGCGCAGCGAGATAAACACTTATCTGACTTAGCATGTTCCACAAACAGGAGAGTAAAAATGACATTGCAGAAATTGGGTTTCGCTAGATTGTGCATATAATATGGAACAGATAACATTTAAAGGCAGCAGACAAAACAAAATTACAAAGATTTAAAGAGGCTCATGAGGGTGGAAAGATGAAAATATGGATTGAAAATGTTATCATGGCTTTAATTAAAGGGAGCTGTATGGAGTAAACAAGCAAAAAGATGACCTTATTGAGGGAAATCCCTGCTGTGTCTGTTTGTTTCTTTTTTTTGAATGAAAAACACTTCCTATGATTAACTCATCCGTGCATCATGAGTGCATCCTCATTTCACAAACAGCGGCCAGTGCACGAGCCTGGTAATCGAATCGAGAGGCGTCGTGACAAAATTCACGTCCAAAGCAGACCCTTTTTTATTGAAAATGGTACCTCTAAATGTACTGTTTGTATGAGTCAATCCTTAAGTTAACCCTTTCACTCCTAGAAGTGATTGACATGTAATTTCTCCTCGTAACATCTGTTCAATATTCAGCAAACAGATAATGAGAATATTCATACTTCTCAGGTAGATCTTATCTTGATCTAACACCAACTTCTCGAAACTGCCTTACAAGAAAACGTGTGACAGGTAAACGGGAGAACGGACAATTACATCTTAGAAATTGAAGGTTTAAAAATGCTAACGCACTCAGTAGGATGCTCTGTGAATGTACTTCGTTATCGTAATCATTTTACTAGGAGTACATTTTACTATTAACTTTATCGTCTATTCGTGGTAAAAGGACTATTGCGTTACTCGCCTTATCAAATCAATCATTTATAGTTTTAATTTACGTTTAAACTTATTTTAATTTCTTAATGATGTTTTATAAGACTCCTTCGCGTGGTCTCACCAGTCTTTCTCTCAATGACATAACTGGTTACGTAAGAGTTCTCAATTACCGTAACGGTGCGCTTACTATACATTGTCACGCATTCAATGCTGGTCACGATCCTGACTATGGTTCACTAATTAAACTGCCCAACTATCAAAGTCGCATCAGTTCGACGCAGTCACACACACCATAATGTCACGCGCAGGTTAATATGATCTATCGCCCCAGTCTCTCACTCTGAATCTTTAAGTTATGATTGTGACTGGTTTTTCTTTAAGGATCTTTTAAATCTACAGAACACAGACTGTCAAGACTGCTACTGTTGCTTTTAACTCTGAAATAGGTTTCCCGCCTATCCCAATTTTTCATTTCTCTAAATGACAACATCAGCGCCCAGAAAGACAAAATGGTGGTCGCCGCGAAGAGACCCGCCAGCACCAAAAGATAAACACTTGGAATAATGGTTCGACATATTGGGGTCACGTGCTCATGATCACATTCCTGTCCTTTACACTCTTGAACACAGCGCTTGGCTTCACACACAAAAGAGCATGCTCCAGAGAGACACCGCTGGCTACAAAAATCCACGCCACTTGTACACTCCATGTGACAGTCATGGCATTGCTGGAAACAAGTCCCAGATGAACACGTCATGATCTTGCAGCTGGAGTCGTGGCAGGTCTGGTTGCACGTGGTATAACGCGAATCCCCGGATGTGAAGCCGCACCTACATGGGGACCTATTTCTGCACTGTTGTAAACAAGTACTGGAGACTACTGCGTTACAATTCTCTGTCGGTGACGCCTTGAGCTTAGTGAGAAGAAGGAATTCCACGACAAGCACAACTAAACAAAACATATTTATCCCTGTAAAGAAATCGCAGAGGTCCAAGATATAAGATTCATATAGCCTTAAAATTATTATGCTAAACTTACGGTTTTTGATGATCAATTTCTTTCATCTCCTCACGAAAATATAGGGGCGAACAGATGACGAGTTTAAAAATAGATCAGAAAAATAAAAGGATACCAATGTTTCGTTTTTGGTACATGACCGGTATTAATCAATCTTAGGTAACCTACAATCGACAAACAGGAAGCATCTTAACCTTCGGTCAAAGCAGATTGGAGAATGATTGATTCTATTTTTCACCGCTGAGTTTACTCTAATCTGTTGTCCATCCCTACAACGTACACCTCAGCTTATCCTCAAGGGCACGTCCAGCCGATCCTATTTTGAACAGGGTATCACACTTTTCCCATTAGAAAGTCGTGTGATCCCTTGTTTATTCTTCGAATTGCTGAACTCAACACCCCAAAATTCCCTAGGAACAGACTTCTGAAACATTAATGTTTCCACCACCTTCTTATAGACGTTATAGGCTTTGGTCAGTCTTCGGCTTTACCGAGTAAGCAGACTCAGCTGAAGTAGCTCTCCACGATGTAACCTTATTGAATAATTCACCGTTAATTCAAATATTGGAAATTCTGAATTCATACTATTATGAAGCCATCATGTTGTGACATGCACCCGCGATAGTTAAAAACTTGCTACCCAGATTAAAAAAATGTAATTTATAGCCCTTTTGAGCCTATTAACACTAATTTGCTCTCAAAGTTCTTTTTGCAGATGTAATTTCATGCGAATGAAATGTGTTTATCATTGGTTATCAAATGACTTTGTTTGTTAAAACAGTCCTATTTAAAAAAATGGAGTCCAAGATTCCTTGAAGAATGTCTAAAAATTAAAAAAAACAAACTGGTGTTCGCGGAAATGGAATTTGTAAGACAGTTCAACGCTCCCCCTGAAAAGTGTCCATAAGCTCAAACAAATAAAATACTTTGCTCGGAAATGAGACTTAGAAGTCTGTTGTAAAAGAATTTGACTTCTCTCGTTTTTACTAATTCATTAGCTGCAGAGTGGAAAAAGCACGATCACTCACCTTGAATGCTTTGAGTACAAGGATGATGTATTTATGGCAAAGTTCTACAGATGGTGATCGTAGAAGAAAGCGGATGCAGCTCAGCTATTTTATCTGATCACGTTCGAATTCAAATTGTTTTGCAAGCACAGGGGCGTCGCCTCATCCGTCTTCCCTCCTAAAATAGATCATGATATCCCAAATTAAAACCGCATTTTCCTCAGAGAGCCTCACAGTACCATACAGGAAAACTTTCTTGACATAATGCAATTACACGATGATACATTCAGAGAGGTATCGGGTACAAGACGTGACTTGTGATTTAACTGATGTTCCTACATAATTAACCTCATGCGAATTATATCAACAAGTCCATTAACCGCAGTAATGCCTCGGCGTACGGAAATTAAATATCGTGCCAACAAGTATTTTGACTGATAAAAGTTTGCGTTTAGTTTAAACAGACAAAATAAAGTGCAAAATGGCACGATTCTTCTTTTGGTAAGTTATTAAAAAACAATGCTTTCCTTTGTTTGGCAGATTTATTCTTTGGCTCTCCTATTTTTGTACCAACCAAATGCAAGTACTAGAAAACGTCTCGTGATTACTAGTGACGTGAGTAATGTACACCAGCTGTTAATGTTCCTTAGACAAGTTTTAGAACTCACGTAGGCGTCAAGAAAAACTTAATTTGACTGAGAAGGCGTGAGATGTATTGTTCTTTTCGCATTGACTACAAGAGAAGGTTTAAGAATTCGTGAACCGAGACGCACACGTTCTGACATGGAACGTTAAATTAACCAGACGAATACGCAACGCTCCTGCACAATGCATGCATTGGATTAAGAAAAATACGTTCTTTTGATTCATCATACCTGGTTCATAATTCTAGAAAGTTAGAGCTGTAAATAGCATCTCCTTTTAACAATGACCTTGAAGGAAATCTATGCTTTACATGTCAAAAATTGACGTGATTCCCAGCTGGAAATATTTTCTTAAATATTGCGCAACCTAAAAAGTAATGTAGTGTCTATCATAAGAAAACGGAGTGTAAAGTATGCATTAACCATTGATTATAGCTTTAAGAAGAAAATCCAGAGCGACATACTCACAATCGAATATTTTCAAATCTTAAATCAAGGTCTGATGTTCGTGATTTTCAGTGTTTCAATTACGACCCTCTCTTCCTGCCAGAAGCAATCATGGTTTCCTCTTGTATAAGTGTTCACTACTTCTATGGTTACAATTTCGCGGCATCTTTAGTTCGCCTGATGCGGAACTGTTTTCCAACTGAATTAAGAGTTGGACTTCATTTTTCCAGTTCAGGAACGCTATTAAAATTAACGTTTTTAACCCTATTGGATAAACAGTTTCATAGGGATAAATATCAATTCGTAATACTTACTAATTATTCAGTCAAAAGTTCAAGATGTTATCATTGAGAATTTTAAAAAAACGTGCCCTTTTAATCGGCTGAAATCTCTCGGACGACAACTCCTTTTAATTAAAATCTTTTGATATGAGTTACTTGAGCTTTTTGATGACGATTTCAGAGACCAGCGCTGGAAAGAAGAATGACAGTGAAGTGAAGATAACCGTAAATGTGGATGTTGGTTGTGACCATTTTTTCCTTATACAAGGGGAAGGGTGGGCGGGGGAAACATTGTTAACAGGATGAGAAAACCACGGGTAACATTGATTAATAACCGCATTGCCGCAAACAGCAGCATTGAGAAATCTTCATCCTACGTTCAAAGATCAATGTGTCGAAAATGTTATGTTTAAGTTTAATCTAGAAGCACGGTTATTTTGAGGATAATCGGATCAGGAATACTCCAGCTCAAAGAAGCATGACTTCAGCCTGTTGTTTAGATTGTCTATGATAAAAACTGGCCAAAACAAGACAAAACTGAAAAAAACACGGCAGAAACAATACCCTAAGACAATATATGTTGATTGATTAATGTTAATGGAATCGCAGATAAATTCCTTTAGAAAATAAACTTTAAAAAAAACATCAAAATAATTTTTTAGCTGGGAAGAAAAAAAAAGAGGAATTAAGAATACAACAAACAAATTATGAGCAAGGATCGCTGAGAATGGACAAGATTAACCCTTTCATTCCTAATATATCAGAAGTAATTCTCCTTACTGTGTGACATTGATTTTTTATAAATGCAGTTCTGAGAATCTAGTATTAAATATAGTGATAATCCCCTTATTATATTCTTCTTGATTCTCATCACCTTGCTACTGGATAATCTATAGATGTTGCCAGGAGAAGTTTCTTATTGATCACTTGGAGGGGTGAAGGGTACGTTAATAGGGATTGCAAGTTTTTCAGTAACATTAAGTCTAAAACTTTCGAATTCGTCAAATGCACTTCAGACATAATTCTGAATTGAACTGCGACGAGAAGGCTGTACGGGTCGGTGATAATTTATGTTGCAAGAAATGTTTAACTAAGTGATAGTGTTTAAAGTCGTAGAGGAGCATGTGGCACCACTGGGTAACCAGAAAAAAGGAAAAGTACTTCCCATAACGAGTTAAAAAGTCAAGTTGCATACTCGCTAAACACGTGTAGATCTTTTTCTGTGGGAGGCTTGAATTTTCTTTTTTAACAATGATTAGAAAGAACCAAGGTAACAGCCTTTCGCAACATCATTTGTTTCCATGGTGACTGCATCAAAGGGGCAAGTAGGTCTTTTTAAAAAAGGGATAAGAGAATGAACGGCATAATAATAAAACTATTATACAATTACACAAAATCCGCTCAGAATTGATGCGATCGACATTCTTTCAAGATGTTTTTGGCAATGTAAACAAGTTAACACGTTTATGTTTGCGATAGATATCACTGGCATGGCATTAAAAAAAAATTTTTTTGAATGGCTGCCAGAAAATTCTATTTTAAACATTGTTTACTCAACTGAGGTCCGTTTACTGAGGTCCGTTTCGGACAAAACCGCAACATTTTTGGTCCATATTTGACCAATACCGCAGTCTGTACATGTAGCCAAATTCCAACTATCTTTGCTAACACTTCATATTCCACGATCTCATATCGTCATTCCACTTTCGTCTTCTTTTACTTTACAGCCCGTGTCCTTCGTCTTTTCATTACTTAGCAAATGATAGAAACTCTTTGTATACAGGATAAAATATGGCTCTCCCCTACTTTTAAAATGTTAAAATTCATAGAGCTCCTAATGACCGAGATCTTTGTAAGATTCAATATGAATTCTCTTTACTCGCAGCCTAACCTTTCAGTCGTTGTTAGTTTTGAGAATTGTGTTCCAGTTATATGTACTGTTTGTAGACAAAGGGCTTTTCTCGCCATTTTTGCTCTTCTCTGTTAAATCACAAGATATATTGATTGTATTAGAGGAGAATTCTAAAATAGTACTTCCGTGAGAAGCGCAAGAAATCCCTTAGCAAATAAAATGATAAATTTCAGCTTGAACCTTAGATGTTGTTTCTCGTCCGTGTTCTGAGGGATTTTCCTTTACGTTTTCCGCTTCTACTCTCCGCAAAAACCAACACTTCAAGTTCCAGTTCGGCTTAGCCGTACTTCTGCCGTTCACGAGTTCTTAAACTTATTGGCATTACATGGACAAAAAAAATTTTCGAAATCACCTGTTGTAAACAGAACATGTCCTAAAATAATGCGGTTTGATTTAATGGAAAGTATGTAATTTCAATAGACCCGTACCATGGTAAATTGCCAATTTTAAGTCTTATAGATTCCGACAGTCCGGAATCCCAGACGTTAAGGTATTGATCCCACTTCACGAACGACCCGTGGAAACAAGTACGTTTCCTTCATCACCTCCTTCCGGCTTAGGCCCGAATTGATTCAACGCATTAGCTTTGGAAAAAAAACCGATTATTACTTTGTCTTCAGTGTCCACTGTTTACGAAAAAAAGAAAATAGCTGTCAAAATTTATTTCCGTTTAAAGGAAGTCTTGAAGAGGGGGTTGGCCAAATTATGAGCTTTTCAAAGCTCTTTTCGTTTCAGAAACAATCCAAAATGATGGATGTTCACGATATGTCGGGAAGATTTGATAAGTACCGGAAATTAATTCCATTTTTAATTTAACATGAGTAAGCTCCTTTGTGGCTGAGTACAGCGTCAGCTCACTTGAAAATCGATTGGAGTTTAGATGGCTTGTAGAGTTTTTCAGCATCTTATATAGAAAACTATTAAACACTGCAGTTTCGACTAAAAAACTTACCAGTTTTCCACAATAAACTTCCTTTCAGATGAAATAAGATAAAGACAAGTTATAAATGGATGTATCACACGCTCCTTGCGCAAGTGCAACCTCTCCTCAAACAGAATAACTAATAATTTAGATTGGAGACGCACTCAGTCTCAAACATTATGTGCCACCTATGTAGTTGTGGCCAATGCCAAGCTTTCTTCGAAAAGACTCCCAGTATATGTTTACATCCTTATCAACACAAAGGTGTAAATTTGCCAAATAAGTAGATTTGGTTTTGACGATATTAGAGAGAGGGGAGGTGAGTTCACCGCCTGACCCGGTGAGGACTGAATTTAAAATACGTCACCGGCTACTAAAGAGTTAACCTGGTTTAAAAAAGATACATGAATTAAGGTGCACAACCCTTACTGTTGTGACTGTTTGGTAAATCGTACGAAAAACTAGATCCGTTTTCGTGAATTCGCTCATAAAACATGTATTCCACAGGGCTGCAGATGGTTAAATGAACAGATGAAGAGAGCACATTCCCCCACTACTCCTTCAGTGAGTGCAGGCCCATTGAGAAGATGTCCTTAACGAGCCGTATGCTGGACCGGGTTAAAGCTAGGTATACCATTAATAAGCAAGGTCAAAACAGTTGAAGTAATACACGATTGACGGCCTGAATCGACGTAAATCGGTAATAATTACTCAGTGAACTATCACCTTTTTAATCCTTTGTGGCTTGAATTTAAAGGACTTTGTTCTACACATAGTAACTTAGTCAAGCTTAAATGTTACCCTATTTCCCGAATGAGCTTCAGTGCTCCTCTTTGGCCCAGTTTCCTTGCATTACTGTTAGACTTGTGAAAGAAACGCATCGGCCGCTACGGAAATAAAAGAGCGCCGGCGTGCTTGTTTTCTCACCGCATGCATGTCAGAAAAGATGTTTGATTAATTTACCATATGCATTCAAGTACTTTGTTATTGTTTTCACTGAGATTTTTTCACGTTTCTAGGGTGAGCAGGTCGTCTGTCATTATTAAGCTTTAGCCCACAATGGATCGGAATTTCACCCATCTCGCTCTGACATAACTGTCAGGGTAATCTTTTTATAGCGCAACTTTAACCCGTCGATAACCTTGGGTGTATATATTTAAAACCGATCAGCAAATCGAAAATGAATTGAGTGGTTTCACAAAAACACCTGTTTTATTAGATGCAAAAAGAGGATGAGGTTAAAACTAAAAATCTGGAAAGTTCCGAAGTTTGTTTGTTCTCGCAATTTACTTTCAGCATTCTGATCTATCTGCTTCTTTTGCTATTTGGCGTCCAGCCATCATTGTTAATTTAGCTGACCTTAGAACCAACCCATTTAAAGAAAACACAGTTAATTTGACATCATTTTAAGTTAATCACAAAGAAACATATGTTTATTTCAGTGGAGTGCGTTTCAATGTTAATGCTTCCTTCGTGATTGCGCAAAGGAGATGAGACTCTTGGTTTCAAACCTTTCTTATCTTTTGTAAAAGAGAGCTCGCATAAGAAAACCCGGATTTACACAATCGTCTTTACTGTGACAATTTTTAATTCTTGCACTCAACAAATATGAAAGGATAACAGCTGTATTTTCTTTTTCATTAAATACTGACACAATTCCAGTTCACGACCTACTAAAGCTACTTGTAGTTCATCCTACTGGAATAGTCTTTATCTCCAAGGCTACAACTTCACTTCGTTTTCACAAAACTCGTTCCACCCTTCATGTAGTGAGGAACACTATAAAGTCTCGTGCGTGGATATCCTGTGTTTCATGGTGAGCAACACAACTGGTTATTTTGTTAATAACGCTTTGAATGGGTGTCCCGTGGGCTCTTGTACTATACAACTGAAGGTTTTGTTGGTAGACTTTCTAAGCTGCTGCAAAGGTCACGAGAAACAAGCATGGGAGTTTTTCTCGTCCAATAACTCATCTGGCTGCAAGACAACATCAAAGCTAAACAAGTCAAAATTGTAGTAGCTGCAAACAGACCAGCTAAGATGACCAGGTAGAGGCGTGGTATTAAAGGCTCTTCGTGTTCCGTAGGCAAGTGTTTGCAATCATTACCTGCACATTTTTGTACACATTCCTTGGCGCTACACTTGAAGGAGCATGCTCCTGACAAACACCGCTGATTACAATAACCGACGTCACCAGTACATTCCATGCGGCAGTCATGACACTCCTGATGGCAAGTCCCGGATGTACACGTCAGTACCTTGCACTGTGTATTTCCGCAGGACTGGTGACATTCTCTGTAAGCATAATGGCTGTCGTTTGATAGACACATACATGAGGTGCTGCCACATCGTTGAAAGCACTTGGTCGACGTCACCGAGCTACAATTTTTTGTGGTTGATGTTACAGAAGGCAGAGACACGATAATGATGAAGACAATTCTAAGCATTTTCTTTCTGAAAATAAAAAGAGAAAAATTTATTAAGCCGTGTGTCAAGGAATAACGCTCGAAACGTCAGCTTTTTTACCCTTTACGGTGGCTAATTTACGTTTTCAACTCAGTTGTTAACACTAAATTATCTGCTATACTCTCCCACCGACGCAGTACCAGTTTCTTTAGAAACTTACCACTTGATTCAAGGAGTACACTGACACTCTATTGAAGGGTTTTGTAGTGAAACAAAGCATTTGATTCTCCTTAAAACACTTTAATAGGACGCGAAGGATGAACACAGTCGAAAGAGCAACATTTGATTCATCGCATTTTAGATTAATCACGGTCGCCTAAAATTTCGCTTATGCTTTGTACTTCATCATGTATCTTTCAACTGGCAGCTAATCAAAGTGATCTTTATCTAGATGGCTTTCATCGATCATACAATATTCTGCCCTTTACTTTTTAGAGAGCATTTTCTCAGTTTAAATCAACGGGCACTCTTTACCTCTTACCATCGCCGGAACATGAGATGGCGGAATGACGCTTAGCTTATACTTAGAGAATTTGATCTTAATAACTTTCCTGTCGCTTTGTAAACTATTATGATCGTAGTAAACGCTTGCGTTCATGCACGAAACAAAAGGAACGCCTACCAGAGATAAGTAAATAAAACCTATCCGGGCGGTCAGATCAAAAAAACAAATTAAAAACACGAATGAAAAACATTTCCTTCTCTCCATTTAATAACCAGTGCTGCTACATAATTATCTAACTCTTCAGCCCTTCTGCAAACTTTGTTTACCCGTAGATAATTTTCGTTTTGATAATTAGATTTTCTTACCGACTCCCTCTTAATGTGATCACCTTCTTTAGTTTCAAGTGGCAAACGAAGTATGTTAGTTGTGGTAACCTGCTTTTCCTTTAAAGTTCTTCAAAAGCAAAGCAGTTGCTGCCCGAAACGAAACTGAATTTTTTTAAAACAAGGTCTCTTTCCAAAGGCTCGAAGGTCCTGCTCCAAAAACGTAGAGACACTGAAAGTTTTACCGACTTTAGAGCATTAAAATTTCTCCTCCAGGGTTCAAATTTCGCTGAGAAATTCCCGCTGGAAATGATTGTGCGATACTGCAACACTTAAAGGGAAACTTCTCGTATTTCGTAATGTTTAGATAACCTTGAACTCAGTAAGCAATCAGAATTTCTTTTATGCCAATGGGATGCGGAGGGTACTCTCACTCGAAAATAACCTTTGGGTGTGTCTTAACTAAGCAACTCAGGGCGCCTGAACTTCGACAACGGCCTACTTTTTTGTCCACAAATGACCCTATATACTCTGACAGTATAAAAAATTATTGGCGCCTAGTCCTGGAAGCTCTTGGTAACAAAACACGCGATTCGTTCACCGGGCGGAAAGACTAAGTTACCTACCCTGATATTGAAAAATATCCAGTCCCCTCCCCTCCCCCTTCCCGTTCCTCCGCTTTGGCGCTCAAGACTTATTCTCTCCACCTGTATTTTTGGTGTTAAAATCTCTTTCTATAAGCCAGCACGTGTACACGAACTGCGCACGTCAATTTATTAGATGCCGAGCGAAAGACAATTGTCTCCCTGTTTACAAAAGTGTCTTCCTATTTATTTTGCCTGCGGGCGAATAATTCCTCTATCTTTTTTTTCTTATTGAGAATGGACGGCACAGCTTGAACACATCGTGGTATGTATAAAAAGTCCGCTGCTTCAGGAAAAATAATTGTCTTATATCATGTTAACATAGACGAAAACAACAAGTCCAGGAGATCACGAAGAGTATAATCTCCAAGTGATCGCATTAAAAAAAAGACAACACATGTTAGGAAACCCTTCGTCTTTTGAAACCCAAGATTAAAAGCCGAAAGAGTGATTAGCTGCAAAAATGCACTGAACTTGAAGATGATTTAAACTCCAAGAGGGAACGCAAAATTCGTAACCTGGATCCCAACTGTTACGTTTTGCTTTCACATCAAGATTGCCTTGACCGAGAACAAAGCCCTATACCGAGAACAGAGTTGAAATACAAACCTAATGTCTATTGTTGCGGTATGAATTTTTTCGGAACAATAGTCCTTCATTACAATAGTCTTTTTGTCGTGGGGCTCTTATCGAATATATTCTAGGTATACCATGGTCTAAATTGGAATCTTACAGAAGATATGTACCACTAAAATGTAACTAGATTCAAATACCTCAGTGAGAAAAAAACAGCAAGAACGATTGCCCCGAAATAAACAAAACTTCACCGCATGCTGAAGTAAAGGCCGTTCAGTACACTTCACTTGTTTTGACAAAAAGAACGAACAAAGCCCTTTGTCACATGTTAAAGAAGCGCGCGAGGAATCTTAGATGGTAACGTGAGCGTACTCCACTTTGACAAGTGTCAAACATGCCAATCTGTTGTTGTCGTTGTAGCAATCCCTGACTCAGGAGTGATTGAAGTCAACGAAAAAATCAAAGCTGGCCGAACTCGTTAAATGCTTTGCGAAGATAAAATCACCGGAACCCGTCTCCGAGACTTGGTCTTGTTGGCGGTCACGTATGCCCTTGTTCTCTATGATGATAGGCGAAGCGCCAAGACCAACATTGATGATGATGATGAACCATCACCATGATGGCTCACCTTTTCGCAATCTCGATTATTATTATGTAAAGTACCCGCTTACTTCCCCAGCTTTCTTTCTTACAAAACAGCCCTGTGTGTAAAACATTTTTAAAAATAACCTTACAAGCCTGACAGAAGAGTCTAACTCAAATCTAACTCTTAATCAATTGTTGGCGATAAACAGGAAACAGCATAGGGAACAAAAGCAGGATCAAATAATATCATAGGCCTCTAAATCAAAACGATTAAATCTTATAGTTCGGAAATTAAAATCAAACTGAAATAAAATGGACAATGGCATGGTCCGAAAGCAGATAAATATTTCATGACTGTAAAGAAAGCAATTACGAGCCCGTGTTAGGTTTTTGGGAAACGAAGAGAAATTTTGTTGAAATTTTTAGCATGAAGAAAAAGTGTCATACTTTATCAAACTTTGTGTTGGAAATAATAATTTTGTCAGCTGGGAACAGTCTATTCAATACTTTAATCACATTCAGCCCTCTTAAACTGAAGTTCTCGTAACATTTGTGCTGCTTTTGATGCACGACGCCATGGAGGACGCGAAAAATTCAGGAATTGACATAACACGTTATATTCAGTCACTCAGACCGGCAACAATCACCTCATTGTGAAGACAACCTTACAGTGATGCATATTGCTATGGATCAAAGGCAAGGCAGGTTGTCAAAGACAATGGCATTTCCATAAATGCCGCAGGCAGCACTGAGTGATTCTTTCTTCTAAAAGATATTTTCGGATATTTTGTGATGTGTATACGAGTATAATTGGAAGGCCTTCTCCCAGCGCACATCAATCTTTCACATCACTAATAATCATTTACATTTTGTGATCGAATTGGACGAAAATTCAGTCCATGTTGCTTAAACTTACCCATCTGTGTCTCAAACCAGTCACAAATATATCCCTTCGACCAAAAGTCTGTAGCTTGAAGTTGTAACAAGCGTTTACAGCACAGAATGCAAGTTCCTTCTGGGCTCAAATATTTTTTTTGCCGGAGGGTTTTGAAAGCTTCGAGATAAGTGAACGTTAGGTTGTCATGAGCACTAAACGTGATACATTACTTAAGCACGTACTCCTGAACAATCGATCTATGACGTCAGAAGCCAGAGGGGTCAGATCGTTCTATTATTAATAATTCTTGATAGTTCCGCCGATTACTGTTAACTCAGAATTCAAGGTTGTTTAATCAGTGTAATTGCGATTCTACCATTTTACAGTCTATCGAAAATCTTCTCGAAAAAACTACACGATTTAAAGCGACTCACTCAACCATGTAATAATGAGATGTTGCTGACAGATAGGGTTTGAAAATCGGAGCAAGCTTCTAGAGCATGTTTCATTTAAGCGCGTGAGCGTAACTGATACAAAATTGCTCTTGTGAAAGTAATCAATCACCTAAGAGCTTCCACCCATTTTTTGTTTCCCCTCCCCACCCTCCAACTGATAAATATTAAACATCCAACCTCTCTTTAGAGTTAGACTCAAGGGCCAAAGAAGGAAGGACGTGATCCGTTGTGTTTTCCTTAAACAGATAAATCACACACGCCAGTCAAACAATCTGTTCGTAAGAAAATGAATGATTTTAGATCATCAAGGGAAAGTGTTGGTTCCCATTCCACACTGAGGAAGGCTTGTAGGTATTAAACATTGTGCTTATTTATGGACCAGTTTCTACCCTGATTGCGTGCTTTTTAATCGTAACTATTGAACTTTCTTAAACCATGACCGGAAAACAGATGCAGTCGCTTTCGATACGCTTTGAAAATCAGCTTAAATGTGTCACCCGTGTAAAAAAAAAAAAAAAAAAAAACAAAAACATAGTTACGTAAGAAATCACCCAAATAACATCTAACTTCCAGGTTCCGAGTTCGTCGTTGCTTATTTGTAACTTCCAATCTAAAGATCTTTATCTAAATTCTCTGTACTGTCTGCGATATATTTGTTTTACATTTGGCTCAGAACAATCTGATCGATGTTGTCACACGAGAAGAGGTTTACACATCTAATGTTACAACATTTACGAGCGTTCTGCAATAAAGTCCCAATAATGTCTCTCTTTGTTTTCCGTTTTATTTCAATCCATCCATTTTTATTACTTTATTTGCGTCTATTCTTTGTCATGCTACAATCGTACGCTCTGACTAGTAGGAAGTATAATGGCTATCTTGAAAACCACCTGTTTTTGTATTTTATCAGTGCGCCAGAATTGATAATCACTATAGCCTGTGAGCAACAGCGGGCCTTGATTACTAGCTCTGCAGGACGTGTGTTTCTCTGCCCGAGGGCAAGATTCGAGACGAATCGGGAAGAGGTTCGCCGGGAGTCCCAGTACCAGATCCCTTGCAGACCTTCCACCGTCCCGTGACGCTCAAGGCCTCAAACCCCTCCCCCCTCCCCCCTCGGGAAAAGAAACGCTCGTCCCGAGGCACTAATAATGACCACCCGCTTGTAGTTTAATCAGAAGCTCTGTATAATTTTCTTTGCACCGCAACATCATTATGCATATTCTCCATACTGTTCTCTATACATTTGGTATGTTCTAAAAAGGAGAATTTGTAAAACCATCAAGAACTTCATTAGTTGCTGATCATTTCCTTTATTCTCCTACCTTAAACATTTGATTCAAGGGATGGATTGTAAAGAGAAATTAGAACCTTGTCACTCCTAGGGATTAAAGGGTTACAAGAGTTGAACACGTCGATCTATTTTTGATTAACTTATGAATTAACTATTTCTCGATTGTTCAGTCCTCAATGAAGGTCCAACAGGCATCACAAAGGCAAACAATTGTTAGGAAATCTGTACCACTTGCCATTATTATTTAGTCGCGACACAAAACAACAGGTACGAAGGAGATTAACTTCTCTTATAGATTAACTTATACATAGCAATACTTTTTCCATGCACAACAAGGAAGGAAGCACGCAGATGTTAAGCCACGAAGTTGCAAGGGTCGAGTGCACCTGTCCAGTGTTTTCAACACAACTTGGAAACCTCTAACAAGTGAACAATCTCAAAAAGTCCTTTTGAAGACTTTTCTAACCTTTTAATCCCTAAGAGTGACCAGCACATAATTTCTCCCTACAATACTGATCATCCCATATTTAAACATTAAACATATTCTCCATACTGTTCTCTATACATTTCCTAACGTGCTGGTGAGGAGAATTTGTTTAACAATCAAGAGGTTCTTCGGTTGATTATCATTTCCTTTATTCTCATGACCTTAATGTTGGATTCATGGGTCGTATTGAAATGAGAAATTAGATGCCAGTCACTCTCAGGGATTAAGGGGTTGATAAAGATATTCAGCTCTGATTCTACAGGTTAACATGTCTTCCAAGCAACGCCTTCCTTCCTTGATGCACCACTTAAATGGACTATTTCTATAAAATATGTGGCCAGATGTGACAACGCCCATTCATTGGAAATCGTTTTATTGGCTATCAACTATAGACGGTATCGTCCTTCGCTAGTATTGTCCCACGAGATCTCTCGTTATATCCTTAATGAGCCAACAACAGTAATCAGGAACAGTAACGCTCTGTCTTGAACTATTGACGCCTTACTCTGAGATTCGCCGATGTAATCACAACTTCCTTTAAAGCATTGTCTTCTACATTGCGTAGCAAAACACTTCATCTTACAGACTCCTCCCAGGCACATCTGATCACACTTGTCCACCCCCCTGGTGCACTCCATCGTACAGTTTGCACAGACCTGGTTACACGTGGGTGACGAGCACGTGATCTGTTTACACCTGGCTTTCCATACGCATAACTGTGAACAGAATTTACTTGATCCACAATTCATGTTACACTCACCGAAAAAACACTTCTGCGCACAAGCATTTCTCCCTAAATGAAAAAATAAAACATAACGCTTTAAGTTTTAACCCCTTGAACCCTAAGAGTGACTAGCATATAGTTTCTCCTCACAATAACACACCTGAACCAAACATTAAGGTCACAGGAATAAAGGAAATGATCAGCACCGAAAGAGGATCTTGACTGTTAAACAAAGTCTGCCTGCCAGTACCAAAGGGTGAACCCTCTTGCTTTAAAGATCTAAATCTTAATTCTTCGCACTGTCTACTGAACATTTCTAGTTGCTTTGGTACTGAGAATTTGGTGTTGAATCAAACGATATTCCCTGATTGATTATTTTATTTCCTTCTTGTCGCCTTTCTGCTTATGAATGAATTGATATTGTTAGGAGATTTCACTTGGCTTGAAAAAATAAAGTTTGGTTACCAGAACAATCCATCGCAGGACACGAAGAGAGAATATGACACTTTTGAGAGCAACTTGAGAAAGAAGTTGTGTCCACCATGTCGCATGTGCACTTGTTGAAGTTGCAAGTCTTCTGGCATAGATTTTGATTAATGTGGCCTCCAGCACATTTTTCCTCAGCTCGTGAAAACGTTGCAAACATGGTCACCAGCACCACCAATAATGCTTCAGCTGTCATAATTTTCTCCAACATCCTGTGAAAGTAAAAAAAGTTAATGGTTTTTCGACTATTAATGATAGAGAATAATTGTTCAGATAATAACAGAGATTTTGCTCTCTTACTGGTCGAGGATTACGTTGCGTTTTATATTTCACCCCCAAAATTTAAATATATAAACTGCCCGCACTAACTGCGATTCGTTTCTTATAGTTTTAGTTAACTTTATCTCTTTTTCAGGTCATGTAATTAATTAAAGGCCATCAAAATCGAGGCGCGTGCTAATGATAGCGTTTAATGATATTGCGTTTTGACGGTATGGGGCCGTAGGTTAGGTAAATTGTGATATTAAAACCAGAAATTACATATTACACGTTGGAAAATGCTTCTTCCTCTCTTATAAGACTTGTATACTAAATTATACACTCTTATAATACTAAATTAAAGACGGGAACACAGCTTTAAAACCAACAATAATGGTAGGTAAGCCTCATTTCCCTTTGTTGTCGGTCTTCAAAGCTGATGCTATCACTATAGATAGAAAATAATGATGTCTTATTGAGCTTCTTACGTTTTAAATTAAAATCCATTCAACACAAGGTGCCATTCGTGACTCCTACTGTTTTGAAAAGAAATTATGCTTTCCACTTTCTCTGCGGTGTTTAATAATTAAGAACTGAAGGAGTTGCTTGGCGGGGAGATAACACTGTGTAAGGTAAATAAAAGAAAGTGGAAATCTATTTTTAAAATAAAAAAAAATCTCAGCTCCTTTATATGTAATACATAGTATTCGGTACTGCTAAGCTCAATCTAGCAAAAATGCACTGAAAAGGAAGGCCACGTAAACACGAAGTAAACAGAGGAAGTTAAAAACAATCTTATTCATAAACCTTATATTCTGATATAAAGATTATTTAAAATCCGAGGTGATGCTGAAATTCTAAACCATTCCGTTTCCTTTCGAAATAAGGAAAAGCGCAAATGCAGTAAGAAGATTAAAGGCTTATTTCCCCGTTCAACTAAATGAAAAATACACACACATCTGTACAAACAAAAACATACATAAAGCGATGGAAATGCTGAGTGAGACTACCGCACTTCTCTAAACGCCACATTTTCTCACCACGAAACTGAGTCTTGAAATATATCTGTAAATATTAACTTAAGTCTTAAACACATCGCATTCACACACTTTTAAAATGTATGTTGAATATCTTTATGAGCTGTGAGAGCCATACTCTCACATACAGTGCCTGAATGAATATTATAAACATTGAGACGCTTTTACTTACATGTAGCACTATAAGTTGCTTCAGATTTCCGCTGCTTTTGCACCCCTCTCAAATTTTCCGCCCGCGTTTACTTCCTTAAAGAACGACAGAAATTTGATTTGGGAAAAAAACGCACAAAAACCTACCTATCTCGTACAATTGTCCACAAAAAAGTCAGAAGATGAAATTTCTACAAATTACATCCTAAAAAGTTAATTTGTATAGATATACCTCACGACCAACAACAAAATTGAAAACTGATAAATTATTTATCAAGGATGACTTTCGTCAGAACTTCCACAAGGTTCGATTAATGAGAAAGCTCCCATTGGTTTTATAAATTGTTTTATCTCTTTTATTAAATTTCTTGCGGTGAAGTCTTACCTAAAACGCGGTGTATTAAGAGACTTCTACGAGCTAATGACTCAAACCACTCAGTGCTTTTTTGTCATTCTGACGGCAGTTGATGATTACATAAGACTCACATATATTCCGAAAATTTTCCGTTCACAAAATAATGACAACGGCCTCTCACTTTTACAGCCTACAGATAAAACAAACCAGTGATGGTCGCATTTACTAACATTATAGAGAGATTGGTGTTATTTTTGATAAATAATTATCTCGCTATCTCAGCCATTGATTACAGATTACGTTTACACAGCGTTTCATATTCCTTTGCGATAAATTCTTACCATTATTTTGACCTTTAATTATACCTTTCGAACTCTGCGTTTGCAAATTCTTTAAGTAACTCGCTGCTTTTATCTCAGACTCATGGAAAAAAAAAACAAAGTAATTCCATTATCTTCCGCCAAACTCGACTTTTTTTCGCTGAGAATTTGTATATGCACAAGTTTTTGCACTATATTACTTCGAGCCATAAAGCACACGCGCGTAACTTGCAAGCCGGCTCTCACTAACGCGGCGATATGAGCGGCAACGCGTATGAACCAGCGAGCGATGTGCGCGCGCGAAAGGTCCGCGAGGGTTCAGGAACGAAAATGAATACAAAGCTCACCCCTCCCTCCTCATCACTTTATGTCAAAAACCCCAGTGAGACATTTTACGGAAAAAAAATTGAAGGGTATCCATACAGTTTTCCGACAATTATAATGTGCTGGCCAGATAAAAGTCTCCACATATAATTTTTTAAATAAACCAGTAACCATGATGCCGCTAAAGGAAGTGCTGGTTACCCTTGTTCCCTTCCAAAAAAAAACAGTTTGAAAACTGGCCTTGATGTTTCTCGGGGAAGCGTTCGATGCCCTACTCATAACTTTAAGCAACCCTCATCAAAGTCAGATTTGTGGCCAATCAGAAATTGGAATCAAACCACGTGCGTCGAAGTGACAAAATAGGCCAATCAGCGATGAAAAGTAGATCACATGATCTAGGGAGAAAACAAAGCGCGTAGTTCAAAAACTTCACTCCCTGAAAATCAATTCAAGGCACAATATTCTACTGCACTTAAATCTCTCACTTACTCGCACCTTTGCTGCCTGAACTAAACTATCAGGAACCTAAGCAGGAAGTTTAAAAGAAGCGACAGAAAATACAGAATCACAGGTTTGTGTTTAAGCATTTTCATTCCACTTTTCAAACGCTGAGGCAACATTATTGTTCGCGTGCGGTGTAGAGAAAGTCCCGAGTACTTTCAAACCGTAAAATTTAAATATTACGTTCGTAAGTGTTTGTTTGTCTTGAAGTATGCAGCAAACAACTTTCTTTATTAACTTTGTGTAAAATACTTTTTTTTCTTCCAGGTTCATGGGGAAAAAACATTAATTGCTCTGTTTCCTAGCGCCACGTCGAGATGTTGTTACCAAACAAGAACAAAGTGCAGAGAAAACAACGTAATTAGGTGAGTGTTAAAACATTTCCTTGTTCAGTATACATGAAATTTGAATTAAAGGTAGGTTTTATTCGGGATAAAAGTTTCTCCCGTGGAAAAATTCGAAAAACTTGGTTGAAGTTGAAAAAAGTCTGGGCAAACATGGCCCGCGAAAGCGGCGCGTTTGGCGCGTAAAGGAATGAATGACTTACAGAACTCGTGTTCCGATTGTGAATAGGAAATAATCATTTACAATACTTCGCTAATTAATCTGACTTCAGAAAGTGAACTTTTTTTCAGCGACGACTGTTTGAATATAATTTCATTTATACCTCAAACAAATTAATAAAGAGAACTAACCCTAAGCAAGTCTACACCTGACTTTCCGCTTTGAAATTGAATGTATTGTATCAAAACGTCATGCAACAACAACACTGGCCTGAGCATTTTTGTTTTGTCCTACATTAACGGAGAGATCTGATAATTATTCGTCGAGTAACAGCCCAAGTTTTGTAAAAAATAATTACTAACTCTCCCTCATCAAGTGTAAAGTTCTTAAAAAAATTTCCGCAATCCGACAAACGACCACTCGTAAAATTTCATTCGAATTGACTGCACTCGGCTTAGTATTAATAGTCAATTCACACTTTGGTTAAAGCTTATTTCAATATGTCAACCGTGATTTCCACTGTCTATCAATAACTATCAAAGAACATTATTTTTCGTAGGAAAAAAAATAACACAATTTTAACAATTTTTAGCTCCACCCGCAAAGTTCTAAAAACATTTCCGCTGGACCACAAGCAGTGAGCTTAGCGATAATAGGTGAAAAATACATGATAATGTTGTTTTTCACTGAATTTTCAACCAAAAAGAATTTAAGAGAAATGTAAAAGAAAGAAACTGGTTAGATCAATATTTTTGTTTTATTTTGTTTGATTTTGTTTTCACACCTACCGAGGAGCCCTTTAAAAGACCGCGGAATTTTTCCTTTTTAACTTTTCGCGAAATCTCTAAAGAAATACAAATTTGGCCTGCTCAGCCTTTATCTCTGTTCTGGAAAAAAACCATCACATTCTATAAAATTCATGATGTACGATAAGTCACCAAATGTGATCACATCTACACTTTTTTCCTTTCACATTTTTAAGCAGAAGTAACTGACGTTCATTATCCGACACTTCAAGTGTAATTTGATGGGTTGTAAATGATCCCAGAACCTCATTTTCATGATATCAATAACAAGTACGTGAGAGAAAAAGGTAACTTCACAGATTATCCTCGCTATTCCCTCAACTCAAACAGCCTGGATACTAGTTTTTCTTTTATGCTTATTGATATTGTAAGGAGAAATTAGATGTTGGTCACTCTTGAGGCCAAAGGATTTAGCAAAATAAAACATTTTTGAGGAAAAAAAATTTTTTCATACGAAGACGATGCTTCTCCTCACAATTCAACAACACTATCTATCAAAACGAAGGTAAACACAAACAACTCTCCCTTCTAACTTACTAGTAAAAGGGTACAGGTTAAACAGAGAAATTACTTATAACATCGTGAGAATTAAAGAAATAATATACAAACAATACTATTAAATTTGCAATTTTAGAAAAATCTCTGACCAGCCTTACCTGGCTTTTGGCTGATAATCCAGTCCACTACCTCCAGTTCAGATCCACACCCACTTCAGATCTACATCCACTTCCAACAGTCCAGTCTATTCACTAACTCTGGTGGTTAAGCTTCAGTCTTAAAGACACGATACAGGTCACAACAGGTCAGAAAATTCCCTGTAGGTTTTGTGGAACTTCCAGTACCAGCAGTCTTGTCCACTCACCTTTCTACTTCAACTGCTTCTCAACTTACACTCCACAAGTCAAGGCTGACTCCTCCCAGTTTGATTCTGATGAGGAAAACATGAAGATGTGGGGAGTTGGACTGTTTGGGAAGATGAGACTGCAAATCAAGTTTCTCTTCACTCCTTTCCAATGTCTGCTGCATCTTATTGCATGTATTTACTCTGATGATCATCTGGGAACGAGTCAGTAAGAAGACTCTGATGGAAGACAAACACAACAGGTCAGACAATTCCTTGTAGGTTGGGCAAGAGGGACTACTACATAGTACGCTGGTTGAACCTTATTTCAAATTTCCGACAGAAGTCTGTGAACTTCTCATTCGGCATAATTTAACGTAGTTAGTGTAGTTAGTTGGGTCCCCTGGGATTGGCTGGGCCTCCCTTTTTTCCAACCCTTAATTTTAATTGGGTTCCTTTTCAGGTATTTTCGGCTTAGGTTAGGTTTCGGCTTAAGGTTTTTTCTTACGGCAACTTCGGCCTTGATTCTACGTCAAAACTGGATCCACTACACACATCCTTCAGGACTACAATGGCCCTTTACCGATGGACACCGACATCGACTCTTCCGCGCTGGATCTCCCTGCTTAGTCGCGCCTAAAAAAAACAATTTTATAATGTTTCACCTGATAGCAGCACTTCCATGAACTGCAATCTAGTGAAGCATTTCTTACCAAATTTAACCAAAATATTATTGCGGCAAACCATTTTGGCCAAAGGTTCAACCAGATATTAATTAGGTCATTTAACTGGAGAAGTTAAGTCATTCAACTGGGAAGTGTGCTCATTTGCTACTTCTATCATGTTTAACGGTTTAACTCCAGTTGAAGCCGCTTGTTGAGGCTTCATTTAGTGGGAAATAGTAACTGCACACATCAGCTTAGGTCACAAAGAAAATAAACTAGGCTAATTATCAGCTGTATTATGACAGCAAAACAGCTGTCCCTCCAAATTACGGGCCAATGAATGTCAAAAATATGACACATCAATTAACATTATGGAGCAAACAAGGAAACACAAGGAAGAGAAGAGAGAGTTTCAAGAAATGGCCCAGAATCAATACTTGCTTTTAAAACATACATTAAGCAAATTCTTTTGACAAGTCAGCTTTCAAGCTGTCACCAAATTTTGCAAAATCAATTCTTCACTCAACATCCCAGCCTGATGTGTACAGCAACCAACCCTTATAAAGGTAGGGCAAGGTCTCCGAGACGTCACCAGGTGGGTGGGTTTTATTTTCTTTTCCGAGTTCGGCTTTCGGCTTGAAATTCACTTCGGCTATTAATCCGGCTTTCGATTTCAACACCAAGTGGCATCCAATTTATTGTATAAAGGCTTGGTAACGACCTTGACTCGTTAGCTAGCCACCCTCTCACATCATCTGGGGCACCACGAGTGTTCTAATCGGGGTGTCAACATTTACTGACACAGAAACACTTGAGGTTTCTACAGATGCTAAATTTTTCATTTAGGAAAGCGCATCCCACCCTTATCATTAACTAAGGATTCATGTAATATTAAGAAGAAAAACAATAAAATCGCAAAATTCTGTGTGTTTGTGTTATTTTCCTAAATGTCAAATACGCTTCAAATTTTATTAATATAACATTATTAACCCCAGATTTTTTTTCAGAAGGAAGGTAGGTGCTACTAACATCATTTATTTCAGGATTTTTTAGGCCCATTTTCGGGGGCAAAGTTGCATTAAGACTAATAACACTGATTACACCTACAAGCACTAAGCATGTCAATTGCATCTTTCGAAAACAATAAAACCACAAACTTCTGTGTGTCTGTGTCATTTTCTCAATGTTCAGTTAAACATTAAGCAAAAATACTATACTAAATAAATATCTACATTTCAGGACTACATACAACTCTTATTTCAGAAACTGAAACAAGCCTATTTTCGGGGGCACATTCGCTATGAGGTGGTTGAAGGCGCCTTCCTTCCATTGAGAAACCATTTCAAGTCCATTTTCGGGGACAAGTCCATTTTCGGGGACAAGTCCATTTTCGGGGACAAGTCCATTTTCGGGGACAAGTCCATTTTCGGGGACAAGTCCATTTTCGGGGACAAGCCCATTTTCGGGGACTAGCTTATTTTCGGGAGCAAACATTTCAACTTTCATAAAAATGAAAATACTAACCTTTACATATTCCAGGAAAGATGATGTAGCTCATGATCACATGGACCAGTAAAAAGATGCAAAGAAAAGAACCCTTTTCATCTCAAGCTCATCTGGTAAGTTCGCTTTGTGTGTAAACATAACAACGTACATACTTGGCTTTTCAGGTCATCTCTTCAGTGAGATCATCAACACCGACAAGGCTGTGGAAAAATAAGGTAAAACACATCAAAAGTATAAATTTATAAAAATTTTAACAATTTTACCAGCTCACAGAAATTTCAGATTTTAAACCGTTCCACCCCCTATAGGGGTGAATTGAGTAAAAAGTGAATTGACATAGAACAAAAAGCAAGTTTTTCAGAACACATTGCTGAAGTATAAATTCTATCTACAATAAAGCCAAATTTCAAGCTTTTTTGGGGGCATAAAGCCACTAAAGCAAATTCAGTGACTGAGTCATCAACAGAGACTCCATCATTTATCTTTTGGACAAAACAAATTATATAATAGGGCCCATCATCTGCAAAAAGGTCAAGTGCATTTGGAAAGCTGCTGTAGGAAATCTGTTACTTAACCCTTGTGTAGTTTAAATCCTACTAGGCACTTCCAGCTGGAAAGAAAATCGTTAACTTGGATACAACAGAACAGCTGTTCACTACCCACATCAAGCCAGCTACTGCACCTACAAAAACACCAAGTCAGTTATCTGGATCAAATGCAAGTAAGTGAAGTCAGTCATGTATCACCACCCTCCACCTTGTCCTTCACTCCAGCAACAAAACTTAAAGCCAAGAAGCAAGAACTGGGTTATTTAGTCCTTCACTTCAGCCCCTGGAGAAGACAAACCAAACTTGAGGCTAAGAGACAAGAAGTGGAATCTTCAGTCCCTCACTTCAGCCTGGATGGAAGACAACAATGCTTGACACTAGGAAGAGAAACGAATATTTAGTCCTTCACTTCAGCTCCTTTAAAAAACAACACAAATTGAAGCTAAGAGACAGAAAGAATACAAACCAAACTTGAGCCCTAGAGAGACAAACCAAACTGGAATCTAAGAGACAAGAAGTCCCTCACTTCAGCCTCGATGGAAGACAACAATGCTTGACACTAGGAAGAGAAACGAATATTTAGTCTTTCACTTCAGCTCCTTTAAAAAACAACACAAATTGAAGCTAAGAGACAGAAACTGGAATATCAAGTCCTTCACTTCAGCCCTAGAGAAGACAAACCAAACTTGAGGCTAAGAGACAAGAAGTGGAAGTCATTTCAGCTCCTATAGAAGACAACAATGCTTGAAGCTAAGAGGTAGAAACAGGAATATTTAGTCCTTTACTTCAGCTCCTAAAGAAGACAACAAAAATTGAAGCTAAGAGGCAGAAACTGGAATATTAAGTCCTTCACTTCAGCCCTAGAGAAGACAAAAACAAAACTTGGGGCTGAGAGACAATTAAGAAGTGGAATCTTCAGTCCCTTATTTCCACTTCTATAGAAGACAACAATGCTTGAAACTAAGAGGCAGAAAATGGAATATTTAGTCCTTTACTTCAGCTCCTATAGAAGACAACAAAAATTGAAGCTAAGAAGCTGAAACTGGAATATTAGGTCCTTCACTTCAGCTCTAGAGAAGACAAACAAAACCTGAGGCTGAGAGATACTTAAGAAGTGGAATCTTCAGTCCCTTATTTCATTTAGTCCTTTTAATATATGCAACTAAGAGGCAGAAACTGGAATATTTAGTCCTTTACTTCAGCTTTAGAAGACAACAAAACAACTAAAACTGGAATATTAGGTCCTTCACTTCAGCCCTAGAGAAGACAAACAAAACCTGAGGCCGAGAGATACTTAAGAAGTGGAATCTTCAGTCCCTTATTTCATTTAGTCCTTTAATATATTTCAGATTCTTTAGAAGACAACAAAAACTGAAGCCAAGAGGCAGAAATTGAAATATTTAGTCCTTTACTTCAGCTCCTATAGAAAAAAACAAAATTGAAGCTAAGAGGCAACAATTGGAATATTAAGTCCTTCACTTCAGCCCTGTAGAAGACAAATAAGATCGAGGCTAAAAGACAAGAACTGGAATCTTCAGCTCCTATAGAAGACATCAAAAATTGAAGCTAAGAGACAAGAACTGGAATATTTAGTCCTTTACTTCAGCTCCTAGAGAATATAATAATATTTGAAGTCGAAAGACAAGAACCAGAATATTGAGTTCTTTACAACATATCCTATTGAAGACAAACAAGACTTGCGGTTACACGGCAAGAACTGGAATCTTTAGTCTTTTCTTTTAGCTCCTATGGAAGACAACAAAGCTTAAAGCAAAGAAGCCAGAACTGGAATAATTATTCAAGGCAAGACTTGCAATATATAATCCTTTCTTTCAGCACCTAGAACAGAAGGGCAAGAATTGGAATCTTTACTCCTTTACTTCATTTTTTAAAGAAGACAACAAGACTGAAGCTTCCAGGCAAGAAATGGAATATTTAGTCCTTTATTTCAGCTTGTAACAAAGAAAACAAGACTTAGAGCAAAGAGGAGGAACAGGAATATTTGGTTTTTCCCATCAGCTCCCAAAGAAGAAAACTCTTGAAGCTATTAAGTAATCATTGGAATGTTTAGCATTTTGCTTCAGCTCCAATAGAAGACAGAGCAGATTTGAAGCTAAGAGGCAAAGCTTGGAATATTTAGTCTCTACCTTCAGCTCCTTTAGATGAAAGACAAGACTTGAAGCTAAGCAGCAAAACTTCAATCTACCAGTTGTTGTATTTGGTTCCTACCTGAGGGAACGACACCAAAGTATTACAAGAGTAATTTATGGAACTTCCTGGGATCTAGCTCTTCCTCTTATATCCCTACCTGCAACTCTCTCCCTACCAAGAATCTGAGGTTATCTCCCTTGATAACTGTAACTATGGTCTGCTAGAGTTTCACTGTGATAGACTCTATCTTCATGTTCTTTATTTAGTTCAGCTTTCTATATCTTTGCCAGTGTGGAATTCAACTCCATTGCTTAAGAGCTCTCTCTTATGTCCTTGTCTGTGTAGCAAAGTGGAATCTTTTGTCTCTTGTTTCAGCTTCTATAGAAGACAGCAACACTTGAAGCTACAAGGCATGAACTGGAAAAATTACGTCAGCCATTATAGGAGACAACAATACTTGAAGTTGAGAGAAAACTGGAAAATGCAGTCCTTCCCTTCAGCTCTTATTGAAACACAACTTGAGGCTAAGAGACAAGAAGTGAAATCTTCAGTTCCTCATTTGAGCTTCTAAAGAAGACAACAATGCTTGAAGCTAAGAGGCAAAAACTGGAATATTTAGTCTTTCACTTCACCTCCTAATGAACACAACAAAACTTGAAGCTAAGAGACAAGAACTGGAAAAATTTAGACCTTCATTTCAGCTCCTAAGGAAGACAACAATGCTTGAAGTTAAGAGACAAAGTTCTTCACTTCAGCTCCTATAGAAGACATCAAAAATTGAAGCTAAGAGACATGAACTGGACTATTTCATACTTTAGTTCATTTTCTATTGAAGACAACAAGAATTGAAGCTACCAGACAAGTTATGGAATATTCAGACCTTTACTTCAGCTTGTAACAAAGACAATAAGACTTGAAGCAAAGAGGAAAAAAACAGGAATATTTAGTCCTTCCTTTCAGCTCCTAAAGAAGAAAACTCTTGAAGCTACAAGGCAATCAATGGAATGTTTAGTCCTTCACTTCAGCTCCACTAGAAGGCAGAGGAAATTTGAAGTTAAGGGGCAAAGCTTGGAATATTTTAGTCTTTCTCTTCAACTCCTTTGGAAGACAGACAAGACTTAAAAGATAAGAAGCAAGAACTAGATTATGTTGACCTGAACTTCACTTCCTAGAGAAGACAAGACTTGAAGCTACGAAGCAAAACCTGGAGTTTCCAGTGGTTTCATTTGGCTTCTACAAAAGGGAACAACACTTGAATATTATGGAACTTCCTGCAATGTAGCTCTTCCTATGTTCCTACCTGCAACTCTTTCCCTAACAAGGTTTCCAGAGTCTGAGGTTATCTCCCTAAGTAACTGGAGTTCCCAGTGGTTTCATTTGGCTCCTACAAAAAGGAACAACATTTAAATATTATGGAACTTCCTGCAATGTAGCTCCTCCTATGTTCCTAACTGCAACTCTTTCCCTGACAAGGTTTCCAGAGTCTGAGGTTATCTCCCTTAGTAACTGCTAACATGGTCTGCTTGAGTTTCACCATGATGAACTCTATCCTTGTGTCCTAATGTTTATGTCATCTCTGGCATTCCCATCTTTACTTCCGCCTCCTATATATTTGCCAGTATAGAATAAAATTCAATTGCTTAAGAGCTCTCTCTTATGTTCTCATAATTATGTGTAGCTTACTTTCAAGGGAGCAACTGATGACAGAGCTTAATGCAAATAGAGAAATGAGCTTCCAACTTAAGTACAGTGAGCCAACACTCGCAGACATCAGTCCCATAAAAAAAATCCACTCAAGCATCCATAGCATGCACATGTATTTTCCACACAACTGAGGCCTTTGAAAGGAATAAGATAATCCAGTTAAGCTCTGAATCAAGAAACAAAGACTTTGTCTGAGATCAGGCCTTGAGATGTTTACAGATTCATTAACCAGTACCTTGGATATTTTTATAGTTCTTCAAATGAGTTCTTAACAAAGGAACAACAGACTGAGGCTCAGAAGCAAGCACTTATAAGTATATTCTTCACCACTTAGCCTTTAGTAGAGAATTTAAAGACAAAAACAAAAAAGAACAAGTTCTTGGGAATCAGTACACAGCCATCAGACTTCCTCAACATCCTGTCTTCAGCTTTTATCCCCAACAACCAAATGAAAGGTTACAATACAACAATGTGATTGTTCAACACTGAATATCAATCAGCTAAAGCCAATCACAGGTATTACATCAAGCAAAGTTTTCCCTTACATTGATGTTCCACACTGTCACATTAACACTCTCTAATTGATCATGAGGTTAAACTCATTCTCAGTAAACAAAATACTTCATTTTGAGCTGTTTTAATTTTCCACAAAGTGGACAAGAGCTCCACTACCAACTTGAGCAACCATCACAAAGGCCTTCACCAAGTTCTAAACCTACCTTACATTCCAAGCACTCCTCTTTTTAGGTGCTGCCATGTCTCATCCCTCTGAGCCAAAGAGACATGTAATAGAAATTTGTAAACATAGCCATGCATATCTGCGTCTGGTTTAATAGTGAGTCACTGAACCCCACTCTCTTGCTAGCAGAGTGCTCTCTCTTTTAATCCAAGTCATGTGCTTTCATCCTGATCCACAATGCTTATCCACAAAGTGGACAACAATTTTACTTGTTTCTTGGGCTTGATCTTTATAACAAGGCCTAAAACAATTTCAAAGGACACTTCTATGATTATGGCTTGATCTTCATAACAAGGCCTAAAACAATTTCAAAGGACACTTCTACGATTATGGATCTCAGCATAAGAACTGCAACACAGTTTCCTATCATTCTCTTTCTCAGCATTTGACCTGGTAAAGGTTCCAAAACCTACTTTACATCCCAAAATGTTCTCTCTCAAAGCACTTATTACAAAGTGCTTCCATGTTTCATCCATATGAGCCAAAGAGACATATAATACCTACATGTATTTGCATGCATAGCCACATCACCTGAATCTTGTATGAGAGTATGAGTCACTGATCCCCACAATCTTATGAGCAAAGTGCTCACTCTTTCTTTATCTACCAATCACATCCTTCCATCCAAATCCACATTGCTTTCTGTTGCTTGTTGTGTTTTGTTGTTTTTTATTTTCTTTTTGTTTGGATGGTTCTAATTATGTCAGCCACATGGAAACCACACTGGGCAAGCAGACTTAGGTGGGTAGATGACTACAGCATTCCAACAACCTCTTATGTGAATTGACAGCCTCTGTACATGCAACAAAGTGTTTTGAACACTCCAGTGAAATTTCCATTTGTGCACCAATGAAAGTATTTCTTGAGGAATTCTTAACAACAATTTTAAAAGTTTTCAAATTCCCAAAATTCGTACAGTTTTCAGAATGACCTTTACTCATAGGAAACACATTCCTGAGTGACAATTTTTTGTCCTGTTGGTCAAATTAATTATCATGAAACTGTCTCTGCAGCTCACCCTTCCATTGCTGAAGTTTGAAAAAAATTCTTGCAATCAAAAAACAACTGTACTAAAGTTTTCTATGTCATAAAATATATCAATTTTCACCTGGCATTGACATCTGTTAATTACCATACCTGTCTTAGTCCTCAGGAAATGGTCCACTTCCAGTTCCTCCAGTCCAGTCACCTTCCTTCTCCAACTGCTTCCCAACTTACACATCACAAGTCAAGACTGACTCCTCCCAGTTTGATTCTGATGAGGAAAACATGAAGATGTGGGGAGTTGGACTGTTTGGGAAGATGAGACCACATGTCAAGTTTCTCTTCACTCCTTTCCAATGTCTGCTACATCTTATTACATGTATTTACTCTGATGATCACCTGGGAACGAGTCAGTAAGAAGACTCTGATGGAAGACAAACACAACAGGTCAGACAATTCCTTGTAGGTTGGGCAAGAGGGACTACTACATAGTACGCTGATTGAACCTTATTTCAAATTTCCGACAGAAGTCTGTGAACTTCTCATTCGGCTTAATTTAATGTAGTTAGTTTAGTTAGTTGGGTCCCCTGGGATTGGCTGGGCCTCCCTTTTTTCCAACCCTTAATTTTAATTGGGTTCCTTTTCAGGTATTTTCGGCTTTGGTTAGGTTTCGGCTTAAGGTTTTTTCTTTCGGAACTTCAGCTTTGATTCTACATCAAGACTGGATCAACTGCACACATCCTTCAAGACTACAATGGCTCTTCAACCATGGAAACCAACACCAATTCCTCCATGCTGGAGCTCCCTGCTTAGTTGCGCCTAAAAAAAAAACAATTTCATAATGTTTCACCTGATAGCAGCACTTTCATGAACTGCAATCTAGTGAAGCATTTCTTACCAAATTTAACCAAAATATTACTGCGGCAAACCATTTTGGTCAAAGGTTCAACCAGACATTAATTAGGTCATTTAACTGGAGAAGTTAAGCCATTCAACTGGGAAGTGTGCTCATTTGCTACTTCTATCATGTTTAACAGTTTAACTCCAGTTGAAGCCGCTTGTTGAGGCTTCATTTAGTGGGAAATAGTAACTGCACACACCAGCTTAGGTCACAAAGAAAATAAACTAGGCTAATTATCAGCTATATTTTGACAGCATAGCAGCTGTCACTCCAAATTATGGGCCAATGAATGTCAAAAATATGATACATCAATTAACATCTGAGAGCAGAAAAAGGAGTCACAATGGAAAGGAGACATCGTAATATAGTTTCAAGAAATGGCCCTGAATCAAAATCAGCTTTTGAACCATACATTAAGCCAATTCGTTTGACAAGTCAGCTTACAAGCTGTCACCAAATTTGGCAAAATCAACTCTTCACTCAACATCCCAGCCTGATGTGTACAGCAACCAACCCTTATAAAGGTAGGGCAAGGTCTCCGAGATGTCACCAGGTGGGTGGGTTTTATTTTCTTCTCCAAGTTCGGCTTTCGGCTCGAAAATTCACTTCGGCTATCACTTCGGCTATCACTTCGGCTTTTGATTTCAACACCAAATGGCATCCAATTTATTTTATAATGGCTTGGTAACGACCTTGACTCGTTAGCTAGCCACCCTTCTAGACCATCTGGGGCACCATGAGTGTTCTTATCGGGATGTCAACATTTACTGACACAAGAACACTTGAGGTTTCTGCAGATGCTAAATTTTTCATTTAGGAAAGCGCATCCCACCCTCAATTATTATAATTTATCTAAGGATTAATGTAATCTTTTCAAAAAAATAAAATCACAAAAATCTGTGTTTGTGTCATTCTCCTAATAGATTAGCTACAAATTACAATTAACAGAACATCACTAACACAAAATTTTCTTTTCCAGAAGGAAGTTAGGTGCTACTAACACATTTTATTTCAGGCTTTTTGGGCCCCTTTTTTGGGGCAAAATTTTTCTCTACTTACTACTTTTCTTTTAGCAGCTTAAACAAGCCCATTTTCGGGGGCACATTTGCTGTGAGATGGTTGAATGCCCCTCTTTCTGTTTGAGAAATCATTTTAAGTCCATTTTCGGGGACTAGCTCATTTTCGGGAGCAAACATTTCAGCTTCGGTAGATACATATGACAATACTAACTTTTTACACATTCCAGGAGAGATGATATTGTAGGTGATCACGTGGACCAGTAAAGAAAGATGCAAGGAAGATAACCCTTTCCAACTCAAGCTCTTCCTGCAGATGGTAAGTTAGCTCTGTGTGTATACCATGATAACTGCATGTGGGCTTCATTTTTCAGGTCATCTCTTCAATGAGATCAGCAACACTAACACCAAGCAAAGGCTGTGGAAAAATCAGGTAAAACTCAAAAAAGCATAAAAATAAATGGTAACCATTTTAACTGGTCAAAGAAAAAAAAAAGAGGAACCAAACAGGCAAATTTCAAACATACCAACATCCTAAAAGGGTGAATTAAGTAAAAGGTCAGAGTAAAAATTTCATTTACCGGACAAATTCCAAGGTTTTCTTTTTTTGTAGTAAGCTCATAGAGCATTAATTTCATTCATTTTCTTTTTTAACACACCAAATTATATACACATGTACTGAGTTCATAGGAGCACTGTCAGTAGGAAATGTGTTACTTAACCTTTGTGTAGTTTAAATCTTACTTATAGGCACTTTACAGTTACAAAGTAAATGGTTTGCTCGGAATACAACAAAGGCTGTACTTCCCACAACATGTTAGCCTACTGCACTTAAGAAAACAACCAGTCAATTTCTTTGGATCAACTGCAAGAATATGAATTAAGTCAGACAAATATCACCTCACTCAGTAACACATGGAATATAAAGTGCTTCACTTCACCACTTGAGGAAGAAATAAAGGCTTGAAGTTAAAAGGCAAGACCTGGAATGTTTAGAGAAACACATCCCCTCTTGATAAAGAAACAAAGGCAAGAATTGGAGTATATGGAGGTACATGTACACATCAGCTCTTAACAGACTAGAAGCTAAATGGCAAGACCTGGAATACTAAGAAGTATGAATTCACTCTTTATGGAGAAACAAAGGCTTGAAACTTAAAGATAAGAACTGATGCATTTAGTCCTTCATTTGAACTTCCATGGAAGGTAACAAGTTTTGAAGCTTGGAAGCAAGATCATGAAAATTCCTAATGAAGAAATAAAGGCTTGAAGCTAAAAGGCAAGAATTGGAATATTTAGTTGTTCATATTTTCAGTGCCAATAGAAGACAACAAGATGTGAGGCTAAAAGGCATGCACTAGAATATTTACTCTTCCAATTCAACCTATGGAGCACAACAAGATTTGAAGCAAAAAGGTGAGAATTTGAATATTTAGAGCATCACATAACCTCTTGATGAAGAAACAAAGGCTTGAAGCTAAAGGGCAAGGGCAAGGGCAAGGGCATGACATGGAATATTTAATCCTTCAGTTTAACTCCTATAGATGACAACAAGACTTCAAGCTAAGAGGCAAGGAATAGAATATTTAGTTCCCCTTTTCAACTACTATAGAAGGTTACAAGACTTGAAGCTAAGAGGAAAGAACTGGAATATTAGGTCTTTAATTTCAACTCCTATGGAAGACAACAAGACATGAAGCTAAGAGGACCAACTGGAATATTTAGTCCTTCACTTAAAACTGGAATATTTTGGCCTTTGGTTCAGCTCCTGTAGAGGAAAGCAAGACTTCTAGGTGAGAGACAAGAAGTGGAAAGCCTAGTGGCTCCATTTGGCTCTTAAAAAAGGAACAAGACTGAAGTATTACAAGATATATCTGTAAACCTTCCTGTGTTTTAGTTCCACCTGTATGTCCCCACCTGCAACTATTTCCCTAACAGGGTTTTCTAGGACCCAAGGTCTGCTTAAGTCTCACTGTAATAGACTTTATCCTGTCTTTTCAAATATGTTGATTCCATCCCTGGCATCTCTGTCTTTCCTTCAGCCCTATTAATCTTTGCCTGCATATTACACAATTCTATGGTTTAAGATCTCTCCAATAATCTCATATGTGTGGATCACTTTCTTCCTGTGCTACCACTGATTTTACACATTTAGTTGTTCATAAGCAAGGAAGCAAGTGATGACAGAGCTTATTGCGGAAATAATTAAATAACTTCTGACCAAAGCACAATGAGCTAGAAACTCAAATTAATGTACACGTCAGTCCCAAGAAGAAAAAAGTTAAACCTACCCAAGCACCAATGGCATGTACATGTATAGGTACCACCACACCTTTCATAAAGATATAGAAGATGTTCAGAAAAGAGATGTAAGCTCTAGCAAAAGAAACGCAGCCTTGATTCAACAGGCAAGACCAGGAATAATTTGAGGTTCACTTACACTCTTCAGTTACAAGATGTAAGCTCTAACAGAAGAAACACAACCTTGATTCAACAAGCAAGACTTGGAATAATTTGAGGTTCACTTGCACTCTTCAGAAAGAAACAAAAGATTGAAGCTAAGAGGCAAGATCTAGAATGTTTTAGGTAAATGTACACCTCTCAATCAGGAAAAAAAGGCATGATGCAAACAAGCAAGACCTGGAATATCGAATGGTTTGGTTCAGTGAAGAAACAGGCCTGAAGCTAAGCTTAACCAGTACCTTGGATATGCAGTGATTCTCAGCTATTAACCCTTTACACCCTAAGATCAGTATGCATACTCTCCACACTGTTCTTTGTACATTTCCTAAGGTGCTGATAAGGAGAATTTGTTGGCCAATCAAAAGGTTTCTTCCCTGGTGACCATTTCCTTTATTCCCATGACCTTAATGTGTGATTCAGGAGTGATGTTGTGGGGAGAAATTAGATGCTTGTCACTCTAAGGGTTTAAAGGGTTAGCAAAAGAAAAACAGACTGAAGCTAACAAGCAAGACCTGTATGTGTATATTCTCCACCACTCAAACTGACACAGGCAAGTTTTTGGGAATCAATTCACAGCCATCAGACTTTGTCAACATCCTCTCTTCAGCTTTTATCCCCAACAACCAAATGAAAGGTTACAATACAAAAATGTGATTGTTCAACTCTTCATAACAATCAGCTAATGCCAGTAAAGGCTATTAAACCAAGTAAAATTGTTCCCTTTCATTGCTATTCTACACTGATATCTTAACACTCTGTCACTGACCATGAGGAATGAGGTTTTAAACTCATTCTTAGTCTGCAAAATACGTTATTTCAAACTGTTTTTCCTCAATGTGGACAAGAGCTCCACTTGAGCAACAATCACAAATGCCTTCAACAGCTTCAATGGATACCTCTAATATGGATGTCCATGGCCTTGTCATTTATCTTGAAGGAAAGGTTCTGAAACCTGCTGTACATCCCAAGCACTTCTTTCAAAGTGCTGACATGTTTCAACCCAATGAGCACAAGGGACAACTATAAAACAAATTTGCATGCATAGCCACACTGATCTGCATCTGGCTTAACAGTTTGTCACAGGGTCCCATTTTTTTGCTGGTAGAGTGTGCCCTCTTTCTTTATTCAAGGGTCATGTGCTTCCTTCCTAATCCACACTGCTTATTCAAAAAGTGAGGAAACACTTGCAACTTGGACTTGATCCTTCTAACAAAAGCCCACAACAACTTCAAAGGTCACTTCTCTGATTAAGAATATCAGCCCAAGAACTACAACAAAGTTTCCTATCATGCTAAGTACTTGACCATATAACTGTTCCAAAACCTTCTTAAAATCCTGTTATGTTCTCTCTCCAAGCACTTGATGAGCCAAAGACTGAGACATATAATACAATACATGTATTTGCATGCATAGCCATGCAGATCTCCATCTTGTTTGAGTATGAGTCACTGATCCCTGCTCTCTTATACGCAAAGTGCTCTCTCTTTCTTATATACAAGTCACATGTTTCCATCCCAATCCACATCACTTTTTGTGGTTTGTTTGTTTTTTTTTTTAATTTCGTGTTTGTCAGGATGGTTCAAAAATTATCTTAGTGGCACAAAAATTGAGCTTCATTGGGGTTCAATACCACCAAAAGAATTTAAAAGATAATAAGGTTTGGTTAAAAGCTTCACAATATGGCATCCAACTTAATACAATTTGGATACATGTTTTGCTGTTGGTATAGGACTAGGTTGATACCAAAAGTATCACTTGGATTGGGATTCAAACCCAAGACAGTTGATGAGGAAAATTTAAAAAAAGAAATAGATCAGAGATATTTTTGTCTTGATGGGATTCAAACCCATTCACCTAAATGCTGTAAGGCATGACTGTGCACTTATGCAACTGTAACTAAGTCAGAACTAGAAAATGGCTGCTGAAGAAGATAGTCAACAGGCCAGACAGAGGTCAAAAAGGGATCAACCTCACAATATCCAAACATCAGCCACATGGAAACCACACTGAACAAGCAGACTTAGGTGAGTAGATGACTATAGTATCACAACAACCTCAAAGGAAAAATTCCTTTTGCCACAAAGTGTTTTGAACACTCATTCCAGACAAATCAAATTTCCATATGCACAAAGAAGAAAGTTTTTCTGGAGGAATTCTTCACAACAATTTTATAACTTTTCAAATTCCCAAAATTCTTATATTATATCCCAAAATATAACTGAATAATCATAAATTCATTTTTAGCCACTGGTATTGACATCTGTTAATTACAGTACCTGCCTTAATCCTGATAAAATGGTCCACTTCCAGTTCCAGCAGTCCATTCCAGTCCAGTCACCTTCCCGAGACAAGTCAAGGCTGACTCCTCCCAGTTTGATTCTGATGAGGAAAACATGAAGATGTGGGGAGTTGGACTGTTTGGGAAGATGAGACTACAAATCAAGTTTCTCTTCACTCCTTTCCAATGTCTGCTGCATCTTATTACATGTATTTACTCTGATGATCATCTGGGAACGAGTCAGTAAGAAGACTCTGATGGAAGACAAACACAACAGGTCAGACAATTCCTTGTAGGTTGGGCAAGAGGGACTACTACATAGTACTCTGGTTGAACCTTATTTCAAATTTCCAACAGAAGTCCGTGAACTTCTCATTCGGCTTAATTTAATGTAGTTAGTTTAGTTAGTTGGGTCCCCTGGGATTGGCTGGGCCTCCCT